AGAGAGACCAGAGAAGACCAGAGAGAGACCAGAGAGAGACCAGAGACCAGAGAGACCAGAGAAGACCAGAGAGAGACCAGAGAGAGACCAGAGAGAGAGACCAGAGAGAGACCAGAGAGGGACCAGAGAGGGACCAGAGAGAGAGACCAGGAGAGAGAGACCAGAGAGAGACCAGAGAGAGACCAGAGAGAGACCAGAGAGAGACCAGGGAGGGACCAGAGAGGACCAGAGAGAGGGAACAGAAGCCAGAGAAAGACCAGAGAGAGACCAGAGAGAGAGACAAGAGAGAGACCAGAGAGGGACCAGAGAGGGACCAGAGAGGGACCAGAGAGGGACCAGAGAGGGACCAGAGAGGGACCAGAGAGGGACCAGAGAGAGGGAACAGAAGCCAGAGAAAGACCAGAGAGAGACAAGAGAGAGACCAGAGAGGGACCAGAGAGGGACCAGAGAGGGACCAGAGAGGGACCAGAGAGGGAACAGAGAGAGGGAACAGAAGCCAGAGAAAGACCAGAGAGAGACCAGAGAAAGACCAGAGAGAGACACAGAGGGAGACCAGAGAGAGGGAACAGAAGCCAGAGAGAAGACCAGAGAGAGACCAGAGAGAGACCAGAGAAAGACCAGAGACCAGAGAGGGACCAGAGAAAGACCAGAGAGAGACCAGAGAAAGACCAGAGAGAGACCAGAGAGAGACCAGGGAGGGACCAGAGAGGGACCAGAGAGAGACCAGAGAGATACCAGAGAGAGACCAGAGAGAGACCAGAGAGAGACCAGAGAGAGACCAGGGAGGGACCAGAGAGGGACCAGAGAGAGACCAGAGAGAGACCAGAGAGAGACCAGAGAGAGACACAGGAGGGAGACCAGAGAGAGGGAACAGAAGCCAGAGAAAGACAGAGAGAGAGAGAATACCAGAGAGAGACACAGGAGGGAGACCAGAGAGAGACCAGAGAGAGACACAGGAGGGAGACCAGAGAGAGGGAACAGAAGCCAGAGAAAGACCAGAGAGAGACCAGAGAAAGACCAGAGACCAGAGAGGGACCAGAGAAAGACCAGAGAGAGACCAGAGAAAGACCAGAGAGAGACCAGAGAGAGACCAGGGAGGGACCAGAGAGGGACCAGAGAGAGACCAGAGAGATACCAGAGAGAGACCAGAGAGAGACCAGAGAGAGACCAGAGAGAGACCAGGGAGGTACCAGAGAGAGACCAGAGAGAGACCAGAGAGAGACCAGAGAGGGACCAGAGAAAGACCAGAGACCAGAGAGGGACCAGAGAAAGACCAGAGAGAGACCAGAGACTAGAGAGGGACCAGAGAAAGACCAGAGAGAGACCAGAGAAAGACCAGAGAGAGACCAGGGAGGGACCAGAGAGGGACCAGAGAAAGACCAGAGACCAGAGAGGGACCAGAGAAAGACCAGAGAGAGACCAGAGAAAGACCAGAGAAAGACCAGAGACCAGAGAGGGACCAGAGAAAGACCAGAGAGAGACCAGAGAAAGACCAGAGAGAGACCAGAGAGAGACCAGGGAGGGACCAGAGAGGGACCAGAGAGAGACCAGAGAGATACCAGAGAGAGACCAGAGAGAGACCAGAGAGAGACCAGGGAGGGACCAGAGAGGGACCAGAGAGAGGGAACAGAAGCCAGAGAAAGACCAGAGAGAGACAAGAGAGAGACCAGAGAGGGACCAGAGAGGGACCAGAGAGGGACCAGAGAGGGACCAGAGAGGGAACAGAGAGAGGGAACAGAAGCCAGAGAAAGACCAGAGAGAGACAAGAGAGAGACCAGAGAGGGACCAGAGAGGGCCCAGAGAGGGACCAGAGAGGGACCAGAGAGGGACCTGAGATAGATACAGGTGAGAGACCAGAGAGAGACCAGAGAGGGAGGAGAGAGAGGCAGGTGAGAGACCGGAGAAAGAGACCAGAGAGAGACCAGAGAGACCAGAGAGAGACCAGAGAGACACAGGAGAGAGACCAGAGAGAGGGAACAGAAGCCAGAGAAAGACCAGAGAGACCAGAGAGAGACCAGAGAGAGACACAGGAGGGAGACCAGAGAGAGGGAACAGAAGCCAGAGAAAGACCAGAGAAAGACCAGAGAAATACCAGAGACCAGAGAGGGACCAGAGAAAGACCAGAGAGAGACCAGAGAAAGACCAGAGAGAGACCAGAGAAAGACCAGAGAGAGACCAGAGAGAGACCAGAGAGAGACCAGGGAGGGACCAGAGAGGGACCAGAGAGAGACCAGAGAGAGACCAGAGAGAGACCAGAGAGAGACACAGGAGTGAGACCAGAGAGAGGGAACAGAAGCCAGAGAAAGACCAGAGAGAGACCAGAGAAAGACCAGAGAGAGACACAGGAGGGAGACCAGAGAGAGACCAGAGAGAGACACAGGAGGGAGACCAGAGAGAGACCAGAGAGAGACACAGGAGGGAGACCAGAGAGAGGGAACAGAAGCCAGAGAAAGACCAGAGAGACCAGAGAAAGACCAGAGAGAGACACAGGAGGGAGACCAGAGAGAGGGAACAGAAGCTAGAGAAAGACCAGAGAGAGACCAGAGAAAGACCAGAGACCAGAGAGGGACCAGAGAAAGACCAGAGAGAGACCAGAGAAAGACCAGAGAGAGACCAGAGAGAGACCAGGGAGGGACCAGAGAGGGACCAGAGAGAGACCAGAGAGATACCAGAGAGAGACCAGAGAGAGACCAGAGAGAGACCAGAGAGAGACCAGGGAGGGACCAGAGAGGGACCAGAGAGAGGGAACAGAAGCCAGAGAAAGACCAGAGAGAGACCAGAGAGAGACAAGAGAGAGACCAGAGAGGGACCAGAGAGGGACCAGAGAGGGACCAGAGAGGGACCAGAGAGAGGGAACAGAAGCCAGAGAAAGACCAGAGAGAGACAAGAGAGAGACCAGAGAGGGACCAGAGAGGGACCAGAGAGGGACCAGAGAGGGACCAGAGAGGGACCAGAGAGGGAACAGAGAGAGGGAACAGAAGCCAGAGAAAGACCAGAGAGAGACAAGAGAGAGACCAGAGAGGGACCAGAGAGAGACCAGAGAGAGACAAGAGAGAAACCAGAGAGGGACCAGAGAGGGACCAGAGAGGAACCAGAGAGGGACCAGAGAGGAACCAGAGAGAGGGAACAGAAGCCAGAGAAAGACCAGAGAGAGACCAGAGAAAGACCAGAGACCAGAGAGGGACCAGAGAAAGACCAGAGAGAGACCAGAGAAAGACCAGAGAGAGACCAGAGAGAGACCAGGGAGGGACCAGAGAGGGACCAGAGAGAGACCAGAGAGATACCAGAGAGAGACCAGAGAGAGACCAGAGAGAGACCAGAGAGAGACCAGAGAGAGACCAGGGAGGTACCAGAGAGAGACCAGAGAGAGACCAGAGAGAGACCAGAGAGGGACCAGAGAAAGACCAGAGACCAGAGAGGGACCAGAGAAAGACCAGAGAGAGACCAGAGAAAGACCAGAGACTAGAGAGGGACCAGAGAAAGACCAGAGAGAGACCAGAGAAAGACCAGAGAGAGACCAGGGAGGGACCAGAGAGGGACCAGAGAAAGACCAGAGACCAGAGAGGGACCAGAGAAAGACCAGAGAGAGACCAGAGAAAGACCAGAGACCAGAGAGGGACCAGAGAAAGACCAGAGAGAGACCAGAGAAAGACCAGAGACCAGAGAGGGACCAGAGAAAGACCAGAGAGAGACCAGAGAAAGAGAAAGACCAGAGAGAGACCAGGGAGGGACCAGAGAGGGACCAGAGAAAGACCAGAGACCAGAGAGGGACCAGAGAAAGACCAGAGAGAGACCAGAGAAATACCAGAGACCAGAGAGGGACCAGAGAAAGACCAGAGAGAGACCAGAGAAAGACCAGAGAGAGACCAGAGAGAGACCAGAGAGAGACCAGAGAGACCAGAGAGAGACCAGGGAGGTACCAGAGAGGGACCAGAGAGAGACCAGAGAGAGACCAGAGAGAGACCAGAGAGAGACCAGAGAGACCAGAGAGAGACCAGGGAGGTACCAGAGAGAGCCCAGAGAGAGAACAGAAGCCAGAGAAAGACCAGAGAGAGACCAGAGAAAGACCAGAGACCAGAGAGGGACCCGAGAAAGACCAGAGAGAGACCAGAGAAAGACCAGAGAGAGACCAGAGAGAGACCAGAGAAAGACCAGAGAGAGACCAGAGAAAGACCAGAGAGAGACCAGAGAGAGACCAGAGAGAGACCAGAGAGAGACCAGAGAGGGACCAGAGAGGGACCAGAGAGGGACCAGAGAGGGACCAGAGAGGGACCAGAGAGGGACCAGAGAGAGACCAGAGAGAGACCAGAGAGAGACCAGAGAGAGACCAGAGAGAGACCGGAGAGGGACCGGAGAGGGACCGGAGAGGGACCGGAGAGGGACCGGAGAGGGACCGGAGAGGGACCGGAGAGGGACCGGAGAGGGACCGGAGAGGGGCCGGAGAGGGGCCGGAGAGGGATTGGAGAGGGACCAGAGAGAGACCAGAGAGAGACCGGAGAGAGACCAGAGAGAGACCAGGGAGGGACCGGAGAGGGACCGGAGAGGGATCGGAGAGGGACCGGAGAGGGATCGGAGAGGGACCAGAGAGAGACCAGAGAGAGACCAGAGAGAGACCATAGAGAGACCAGAGAGAGACCAGAGAGAGACCAGAGATTAAAGATACTTGTTTCATTGATGAATCTTAACATAAACTCAGATCAAGGACGCATGTAGTGAAACAAGTATGAAGGGTAAAAACAATTGCTATTAGCCTGTAACTCCCTCTGCTGCCACCAGAGGGAGGAGGAGAACGTACTTCTATTTCTCAAAATTCTAAAACACAGACGCGTGCAAGTAAAGAGCGTCATTTCACCTGAGAAATGACTCAAACTAATTCAGTGTGATGTCATAGTGGTGCAGTGACATCATAGAATTACAGGACTGAGACAGGAGCTTTTCGACTGTGGGTGCCTGACGTTAGCCTGGATGGATCTAAAAACAGCCGCAGGTCTGTGTGTCACTCACGGGTTCCAGAGTCGTGGGAAAGCCTCTATCTCCGCCGCGCTGTACTCCCTCAGAGTGCGGGGGATTTCTCGGGGCTGGGGCAGTTCTTCCGTCAGGTTTTGAGCGATTTCGTCCGGTAAAACCTGCCAGAACCACACGGTCATCAGGACAGGCAGCAGGCAAGGAAAGTTTTTTTGTATAGCACAGTTCATACACAAGGAAACTCAAAGTCCTGAACAAAACAAGACACAAAACATTTAAAAGAGTGAAGATAAATCCTTCAGTAGTTTTTAACCCGGATTTGACCATCGTCAGAGGAGAAGTCTGTGTTACATTTTCAGTAAGACTGTTTCATTAAAGCTGAGGTACCCGACTTTTGTTTCAGAAATAACATGTTTGTCCCAAAGGTCTTGTAAAATGTTGTTTTCAATTGTTTCATATATGGTGCCAATTTAGTTCAATTCTACTTATTCTTGTATCGCCCTAAATCACAGCAGTAGTTCTCTCGGAGGACTTTACAAAGCTGTTGATTTGCCGACACAGATCAGAGTGGATGGCACTCTCGCCTCTCAGCAAGGAGGTTCTGGGTTCGAATCCCGGTCGGAACAGGGCCTTTATGAGTGAAGTTTGCATGTTCTCCCTGTGTCTGAGTAGGTTTCCTCTGGGTACTCCGGTTTCCCCTACCACTAAAAATATGTGCAATAGTTCAGGGTGATTGAACGAGTGTGTGTTTGTGAGTGTGAATGTGGGACAACGGATGCAAATTAGTCCATGGCTACAATCTGGAGTGATGTGTTCATGAACATGTACTGTCCCAACCAAATAAACAATAAACAATAAAAACAATCAAACTGTTTGAACACAGGAAATGCAATGATAGAAAACACAAAGAGCCATTGGTCCAAACGGGGCAGAGACTGTGTTCATAAATGTAGATTAACGCGCTTCAAAGATTCCGCACAAACTTGCGCCAGGTTGTTTGATGTTGTTTTCTTTCATAGTGGTGCGGCCTTGGCTGACCGCTTCTTTACAACTATCGTGATGCATAATGGGATTACCCCGCGGAAGTGAGGGCCCTCCGGACCTCACTTGCGCGCGAGGGAGGTTTTTAAGTGTGTGAGGGCCCTCGCCTCTTCTCCCTAAGTATTGGGACACCCTACAACCCCCGCGGGAATGCGCAAAATCTCGGGCAAGGGTGAGAATTGGGACGGGGCTAAAGTCCACTGATGGACTGAGACCAGGCTCAAAACCAGATCTGGACTGAGACCAGGCTGAAGACCAGATCCGGACCTAGGCCAGACCCATGCCAAAACCAGGCCAAAACAAGAACAGACCCAGACCAGATCTAGACCAAGGCCAGACCCAGTCAAAAACATATCCAAGAGCCGACCAGGACCAGACTTGAGACCCAAACCAAACATAGCATAAATGTGAGTCACTATTTGACTCTTTGGGCTGAGAGCTGATTGGCTGAGTGAGGGTGGTCCTCCATTTTTCACTTTTCTGTCTGAAAAAAGCTGATCTAAAGAGGTTTTAGATTCAGGAACTAGGGACAATGAGTGAAACTGTTATGGTTATGGCTTCAGCTTTAAATGAAGGTGAATGAAACGGAGACACAAACTCACGTCGTCTGCGAAGATGTGTAGCCGCTGCATCATGGTTCGTCTGTGCAGGTTCTTTGGCAACATTCCATAAACGCACAACTTCATGATCTGAGAAAAGAGGAAACACAAAATGCAGAGGTTTCAGGTCCAATACGACAGAACCATCTCCTCAGGTGGGACTCAACCCACCGCGAGACCTTCTCCACCGACTCCCACTCCACGGACTCCCCAACGGTCTGCTGCCGTTGTGTCCTTGGGCAAGACACTTTACCCCACTGATGTCTGCTGCCGTTGTGTCCTTGGGCAAGACACTTTACCCCACTGATGTCTGCTGCCGTTGTGTCCTTGGGCAAGACACTTTACCCCACTTTGCCCATAAGGAGCGCGGAAGTATTTGTACTCTGCTTGCCTTGATGTGTGTATGTGTATTCATCAAACTGAAATTTAACAACTGTGGGACGAATAAAGGACTATCTTCTTCTTCTTCTTCTTAAATATTTATAACAAAAATAAAATGATAACCCCTCAGTAGAATGTGGAGGACCCTCGATCTTCTGATAATTCACTTCACCTCCTGCTATTATTATTATTGGTTATTCTGGTCATATTCTCTGCTGATAAAGTACAATATGGATCCTGTGCCTCCATATGAGTCCCTAATAAAGTCTACATAATAATTCAATTCAATATATTTTTCTGAAGCCCTAAATCACAACAGTAGTTATCTCAGAGGACTTTACAAAACTGTTGATTCGCCTACAACAGATCAGAGAATCAAACAGGAAATGCAATGATAACAAACACATAGAGCCATTGGTCCAAAAGGGGCAGAGAGAAATGTCCGGAAATGTGGTTAAATGTGGAGTGTCCTGGATCATCATCGCTGTCCTCAGACCCTCCTGCAGAGTGTGGAGGGCCCTCATTCTTATCCTCGCCACACGGGGGCGACGTCGCTGCAGCCTTATTATTTCCTCTGAAAGTGTGAGGAGAGTGTGGTTCTTTTGTGTCAAACCTGCGCTTGTGCACGTTAAAACTATATATATTATTTTCTATTATACTTATTCTTAGTTTTTGATGACTGACGCAGGAGGGTCTCAGGACAGTGACAATCCAGGACTTTTAGGAACACATTAATATTGCATCTCCTGTGTTTTAATTGTGGTACAAGGCTGGCTCTAGGCTCTGTCAAAGCTTTAGTCCTTTAAACAGCCAATCACCTCTGTGGATCCCCATCAGGAGAATACGCCCAAATACACAACACGTTACTATAGCTTTGCTCCTGGACTGTAAATATGTACAGTCATGTGTTTACTCACAGCTTTGGGGTCCTTCTGGTGCAGTTGTGCCGCTGTGACCTGTTTGAAGCCTCCGGGGTATCTGCGAGAAGGAGACTGAGGTCAGAGCCACATCCTGGAGTTAATTAAAGCTGAGGTCCCCATCTTTATCCTCCTCTTAAATAACGCATGACACGGCTGCTGTCAGACTGTACGGCGAACAAGGAGGACTAACGAACACTGCCGACCTGATCTAAAATGTCGTGCATCTGTGCAATCATTTGAAATAATGTCAGAAGGTGCAATATAGAACCACAAGTGTCTAATGTCACTGTTCTCTCATGCTGCTAATGCTAATGCTAAGATGTTATTGTATTATTATTTATTGTTCATTTCTCTTGTGCTGTGTTCTCCTCATTCCTACTGTTCTGTAACCGGTGATGCAACAGTGACATTTCTCCACTGTGAGACCAATATAGGATCTCTTCATCTTAAAGGTGTTTGTCAAACAGAAAGAGTCAGAAGTAGGTAATCTATATTTATATAATGCATTTATACAGACCAAGGTCACCCAAAGCGCTTTACAATGTGCAAGATCCATGCGAGTCACTATTTGACACTTTGGGCTTTGAGCTGATTGGATGAGGGAGGAGGGTCCTCTCTTTGTCACTTTTCTGTCTGGAAAAGCTGATCTGAAGATGTGACAGAGGCCAAACTTACATGACCAGAGAGAGAGACCAGAGAGAGAGAGACCAGAGAAAGAGACCAGAGAGAGAGAGACCAGAGAAAGAGACCAGAGAGAGAGAGACCAGAGAGAGAGACCAGAGAGAGAGACCAGAGAGAGAGAGACCAGAGAAAGAGACCAGAGAGAGAGAGACCAGAGAAAGAGACCAGAGAGAGAGACCAGAGAGAGAGAGACCAGAGAGAGAGACCAGAGAGAGAGACCAGAGAGAGAGACCAGAGAGAGAGAGACCAGAGAGAGAGAGACCAGAGAGAGAGAGACCAGAGAGAGAGACCAGAGAGAGAGACCAGAGAGAGAGAGACCAGAGAGAGAGACCAGAGAGAGAGACCAGAGAGAGAGAGACCAGAGAGAGAGACCAGAGAGAGAGACCAGAGAGAGAGACCAGAGAGAGAGAGACCAGAGAGAGCGACCAGAGAGAGACCAGAGACAGAGAGACCAGAGAGAGAGAGACCAGAGAGAGACCAGAGAGAGAGAGAGAAGAGAGAGAGAGAGAAGAGAGAGAGACCAGAGAGAGAGAGACCAGAGAGAGAGACCAGAGAGAGACCAGAGAGAGAGAGAGACCAGAGAGAGAGAGAGACCAGAGAGAGAGAGAGAAGAGAGAGAGAGAGAGAGAAGAGAGAGAGACCAGGTGCCAGGTCACAAGGGCAGCAGTCTTCCCTCAGCCCTCAGATTTCCCCCTCCACACACATTCTCCAGCTCATCCAGCGTGTGCTGGGTCTTCTCTCTGGCCTGTTTCTCTCTCTCACTGGTCTCTATCTCTCTCTCTCAATCGATTAGTACAGGCAGGTGTAGTTTTAAATGGTAAAGCTGTGATTAATTAAGTTTTTATTCACCTTCTCGAAACATTGCTTCCTTCATCACCGTGTGTGGAATGATTGGAACAATATAACTCTGAACATTGTAAAGCGCTTTGGGTGACCTTGGTCTGTAAAATGCGCTATATAAATAAACATTACTTACTTACTTACATCGGAACAGTGAAGGTTTACACAGAGTTGGATAAAAATTTAAATTATTAAAGACCTTTACAGAACATAGATCAATAAAACTGACTCCCAGTGCTGTTGGTCAAAACGTCAAGTTGTAGAGCATTCTTGCATTGTTTTATATTTTAGTAGTAGTAGTCGTTACTTGAGTAGTAGTAGTCGCAGCAGTAGCAGAAACCCAGCAGTAGTAGTAATAACCAACAGTAGTAAATGCTATAATACTAGCATGATGGCAAAACAAATGAAATGTCTGAAAATCAGACAAAGGGAGAAGGGCTGATCTGAAGATGTGACAGAGGCCAAACTTACATGACCTGCAACTGTTTAAAAGCCAGGAACTAGCACAATGGACTTCATGACATAGTGCCTTTGTTGTGGTCTGAAAGTTACGTACCCCAGCTTTAAACAGCTGCACTTACCCTGTGTGGGAGGAGTAGACCTTCTGCTCCCACTTGTTTCCGGAGAAAGCGATCTCTTTGCTGTTCACGATCACCACATGGTCCCCACAGTCACCTGGTGAGACACAAGAGTCACAGGTTAAAGCTGAGGTTTGTAACTTTCAAACTGCAACAACAGAAGTCTGTAAGGTAAACAAGCACCAGGTCTGTGAGAGAGACCAGAGAGACCAGAGAGAGAGAGACCAGAGAGAGAGAGACCAGAGAGAGAGAGACCAGAGAGAGAGACCGGAGAGACAGACTAGAGAGAGAGACCAGAGAGAGACCACAAAGAGACCAGAGAGAGAGACCGGAGAGACAGACCAGAGAGAGAAGATCAAAGAGAGAGACCAGAGAGAGAGACTAGAGAGAGAGACCAGAGAGAGAGACCAGAAAGCGAGACCAGAGAGCGAGACCAGAGAGCGAGACCAGAGAGCGAGACCAGAGAGCGAGACCAGAGAGCGAGACCAGAGAGCGAGACCAGAGAGCGAGACCAGAATGAGAGACCAGAGAGAGAGACCAGAGAGAGAGACCAGAGAGAGATCAGAGAGAGACCAGAGAGAGAGACCAGAGAGAGAAGATCAAAGAGAGAGACCAGAGAGAGATCAGAGAGAGAGACCAAAGAGAGAGACCAGAGAGAGAGAGACCAGAGAGAGATCAGAGAGAGACCAGAGAGAGAGACCTGAGAGAGAAGATCAAAGAGAGAGACCGGAGAGAGAGACCAGAGAGAGAGACCAGAGAGAGACCAGAGAGAGAGACCAGAGAGAGACCAGAGAGAGATCAGAGAGAGACCAGAGAGAGAGACCAGAGAGAGATCAGAGAGAGATCAGAGAGAAACCAGAGAGAGAGACCAGAGAGAGAGACCAGAGAGAGAGACCAGAGAGAGAAGATCAAAGAGAGAGACCAGAGAGAGAAGATCAAAGAGAGAGACCAGAGAGAGAGACCAGAGAGAGAGACTAGAGAGAGAGACCAGAGAGAGAGACCAGAATGATAGACCAGAAAGCGAGACCAGAGAGCGAGACCAGAGAGCGAGACCAGAGAGCGAGACCAGAGAGCGAGACCAGAGAGCGAGACCAGAGAGCGAGACCAGAGAGCGAGACCAGAGAGCGAGACCAGAATGAGAGACCAGAGAGCGAGACCAGAGAGCGAGACCAGAATGAGAGACCAGAATGAGAGCAGACCAGAGGAGAGACACCAGAGAGACCACTAAAAGACCAGAGAGGGATCAGGGAGACCAAAGAAAGACAACAGAAAGAGACCAGAGAAGGACCAGCAAGAGAGAGACATGGTCCAGTTGCAGTGGACCAGAGCAGTGTGGCCGCAGCTCGGAGTTCGTACTCAGTGCGTGGTAGATGGGTTTGTGTTTTCCCTGCAGTCGGATCGAACACATGGCAGCGATTTTCCCCGGAGGCTGCATCCGGGCGTCGATCAGGAACCAGGAGCGAGCGAAGGTGGCCCACTGCTGTGAGAGGCAGACACAGGAGAGTCAGAACCACAGTATCACATCTATCTATCAATACATTTTCTACTGCTTTATCTGTTGCCAGGTCACAAGGGCAGCAGTCTTCCCTCAGCCCTCAGATTTCCCCCTCCACACACATTCTCCAGCTCATCCAGCGTGTGCTGGGTCTTCTCTCTGGCCCGTTTCTCTCTCTCTCTTTGGTCTCTCTCTCTCTGGTCTCTCTCCCTGGTCTCTCTCCCAATCGATTAGAACAGGGAGGTATAGTTTTAAACGTGAAAGCTGTGATTAATTAAGTTTTTATTCACCTTCTCTAAACATTGGAAGTTCTTTGGAACAGTGAAGGGTTACACAGAATTAGATTAAAATTTTAATTATTGAAGACCTTTACAGACAACAAATCAATAAAACTGACTCCCAGTGCTGTTGGTCAAAACGTCAAGTTGTAGGGCATTCTTGCATTGTTTTATATTTTAGTAGTATTCGTAATTACTGTAGTAGTAGTAGTAGCAGCAGTAGCAACCCAGTAGTAGTATTAGTAGTAATAACTAACAGTAGTAAATGCTATAATACTAGCAAGATGGCAAAACAAATGAAATGTCTGAAAATCATCTATATCAGCAGCATTGTCTTTTCCTCATGGCAATTAGGGTTGAAAACGCCAACGAAAATGCTGCATGAATACGTCATGTTTTGGTAAAGCTCTAAAGACTCTAAAGCTACTAAAACAGAACCAAACGTGACAGTTCACCTATGGCTTATATGATCTGATTGTATCTTTAGTGGTGTTACGGTTTCATGATGATGCAGAATGTTTATTACCTGGGCCGATCTGGAAAAACTGGACATTTCTGAAAATAATAAATAATACGATAATACTATAATAACAGTATTTATAATAAAGATTATCCGGTGTAAACAAACATCCTCCACAGTTTGACCGCAGCGTGAGAGGCTGTGCGTCTTTAAATCAACCCGGGTAGAAACTAGACTACTCCTGTTAGTTCCGCAATGAAACCTTTGGTGCCCTGTGGAAAATGTAATGTGAGTTTGCAAGTAAACAGAAGGGATATCCTGCAGAATATATTTATAAATGCAAACCAGTATTATTAAACTCATGTTCCGATTGTATGATCCTTTATATATCCCAGTTTGAACAGTATAAAAAGTCCTGTGTAATATTAAAGCAAAACAAGCTCTTGTTACACAATTTTCTTCATACTAATTCTTAAGCTCTTTTGCAAGATCTCTAGCAGACTACTTCCAAATTCAGACAAATATACTTCCTTTGTCGCCTCCTTATACTTTATAATGTATTTCTAAGTTATTGAAGAGCTCCAAGTTTATTCAAACACAATTCAAGACCTTTTTAAGACGTGTTTAATGCAACAATATAATACATCCGTGGTTTAATGGCAGATTAATAGGACATGAGTAGGAACATAGACTGTAGGAAGGACAAATGGAAATATGAATTCGCATGCGACCGCTCTCGTCACTTCCTTCCCTCACAGCGCGGGGAAACTCGTCTGTCTCTTGTGTTGTTTGTGAGTTTGAGGAACTGTTTCTGTTGTCCCTCACATATAACTTTTTAATCTGACAGTTGTATGAGGATGCGGACGCTGGAGGAGGTACGGGCCACGCTGCAGGTCGCGAAGCTCCGAGAGGAGGACTTAAACCCGTGTGTGCAGAGCCTGAGCTTCGGGCAGAACGTCTCCTCCGCAGATTACTGCCTCCTGGAGCTGGACGAGGCTCTGTGTGCGGCCGTGGAGCAGGGACACAGGTGGGAATATGTACATAATATTTACAATCCATGGAGGAAACACACTTTAGACAAGACACAACTGCTCTCTAGACCAGGAGTCTCCAACCTTGTTCAATCAATCCAATCCAATCAATCCACTTTATTTATATAGCACATTTAGGCAAGGCAAGGCAAGGCAAGGCAAGGCAAGTTTATTTATATAGCACATTTAGGCAAGGCAAGGCAAGTTTATTTGTATAGCACAATTCATACACAAGGCAATTCAAAGTGCTGAACAGAACAAGAAAGCATTAAAATCATAAATAATCACGGTACATAAAAAAAAAAAAAAAAAAAAAAAAGATACAAATATAAAATCCCTCAGTTGTATGCACAGCTAAACAGAACTGTTTTCAACCTTGTCTTAAACATTATCAGAGAGGAGGCCTGTCTCATAATCTTCAGGAAGACTGTTCCAGATTTTAGCAGCATGAATCTGAAAAGCAGCCTCCCCATGTTTAGTTCTGACTCTGGGCACTAACAGGAGTCCAGTCCCTGTGCTCCTCAGAGTCCGGGCTGGTTCATATGGGACTAACATGTCACTAATATAGTTTGGTGCGAGGCCATGGAGAGATTTATACACAAGCAGAGCTGTTTTAAAGTCTATTCTCTGAGCCACAGGAAGCCAGTGCAGGGACCTGAGGACCGGACTAATGTGGTCGTACTTCCTGGTTCATTTAAACAACAGTTACGTTTCCAAAGTGCTGCACAAAAAAGTATAAAATAAATAACAACTTATCCTTAGCTTCACCAAGTATAAAAGAATAAAAATATATAAAACAGATTAAAACCATAAATAGAAAAATAAAAACACAGAGGACCACACAACTCACACAGTGTTAAAAGCCAAAGAGTAAAAGTGGGTCTTAAGACGAGACTTAAAACACTCTACTGTGGGGGCCGTCCGGACATGGAGGGGAGAGCTACTCTTATAGAAACTAAGAGGCAGAGAGCTACTCCATGTTGCAGTCGTAATAAAAATCTATCTAATAATTACTATGAAACATGGAGAACACATACAAAATACACCATAATACTGTATAACCCTATATTTATACTTATAATAGATATGTAAGGGCTCAAAAAGTATTTATTCAAGTGTATTTGTTTAATTCTAATTCCTTTGGCGAGCTACCTGTAAGGGGCTGGCGAGCTACTGGTGGCTCCCGAGCTACAGGTTGGAGACCCCTGCTCTAGACTGTAAATAAAAGTATTGGACATGACCACACTCTGCAAACACTTGTTTTATGATTTATGAAAGTCCAAAGCCATTCAGTGAAACAAAACTAAAGTAGTATAATTTTAAATAATGTTACAATGTGCAATATAGAACCACATGTGTATACTGTCACTTTGCTTATTCACTTTGTCCCATATGTACAGGTATATACATATAACTATATATTTCTGCCACTAGAATATACAGTATTTTACATGTTATTCTTGATTATTATAAAGTGATTTTATACTTGCTTCTTTATAATGCTAAATGCGCTGTATGCTCCTCATTCCTACTGTACTGTAACTGGTGATGCAACACTGACATTTCCCAACAGTGGGCAAGGATCTTCATCTTAATCTATTCAAAAGCATAGTTTAAAAGTCAATATGACATCTCGACATGAAACATTGAAGACTAAATGCTGAACATTACTTTTAGCTATTAAAATTAATTAGACATATTTTAAGTGGATTTATATTTTTAAAAGACAATATCTGGTGCAACAAGTATGAAGGTTTAAAAAAACAAAAATGTGTTCTGACTGTAACTCCCTCTGCCACCACCAGAGGGAGGAGTAGAGTTTGTTTTTCTCAAATTACCAGCTGCAAACACATCATTTAACCTCATAAATGACTACAACCAATTTATGGGCAACATTTATGTTTTAAAAGACAGAAAACTGTCTAGTGGTGCAATAACATCATACATGCTGGTGATTTTAGATAGAGGGGGCGGAGTTACATGTTTGTTCTAGAAGTTCCTAATCGGTTCAATTCAAATAACTTATTATATCCCTGAGGAACACAGAAACTCAAGATATGAAATGCAAGTGCAGAATTGCAGTATAAAATAAAGAAAACAGATCATAATCTACTTCAGCCGGAGCGGACCATCTCCCAATCAGCTGTTTAAACAATAGATTGAGGTGGGGAGGAAGCTGGATGATGTGGCCCTTTTAGTTTTAAATGGGAGGGTCCTGTACCTGCGCTTTGAGGGACCTGTACCTGCGCTCTGAGGGACCTGTACCTGCGCTCTGATAGAAGCAGACTGTAGTGTGAGTGCAGTGTCTGTGGAGAACTTTTTTTATTGTAAATGATTGCGAGTGAGTCTCGCTGCTGTCCAATATTATTAGCATGGATGAATCTAGGTCTGTGATGGATGAGGTGCAATGTTAATGACTCAAGAAAATTGTGCAGAATATGTCTCCTTAAAGAATTACATATTGGTGATAATATTATGTTTTGTTTTTTTAGTCTGGTGATACGTGGCGATAAGGAGGAGCGCGCTGTTCTCTGCAGCGGAGACAAAACTTACGACTTAAAGATCGCAGACACTTCCAACCTGCTCCTGTTTGTTCCTGAGGGCCAGAGTCCAGAGCAGCTGGCAGAGGGGCCGGCCTGCCCTCGTGTGGCTCATGCTCAGGTAAAACTCTGCAACTTTATCAGATTAAGATTATTTTAGCCAAACAATAATCCAGAATCCTGCTATTCCAGATCTGGGGATTTTGCAACAGCTACTGGGAGCTACGTAAACAGAGGCCCAAACTGAAGAAACTCAAGAAGCTTTTGTTGGAGAATGTTTATGAAGGACCAGCGCTGAGAGGAGAAGAAGAGAACACAGAGAACAGGGTAACACCGAAAACACAGAGAATAGTGTAATACAGAGAAAAGGTACACTGTAGATCAGGCATGTCCAAACTCAGGCCTGCAGGCCCTCTGTGCCATTTTATGTGGCTCTCTGCTGCTCACTCAAAGTCACCATTGAGGCACTTTGACACTCTGGAATCCACTCGTTGACACTAATGTTATTCACTGACATTTCTTTATTTGCTATGATTGTGTCAAAACATTCCACATAAAAACCAGTCAATCCAGCTTAAATCCAGTTTTTTTAATCCAGGTTGTTGGCCCCAAGTCAAGTCTGATGAACTAAAGTGGCCCTCTTAATAAAAAATGTGGACACCCCTGCTCTAGATCATCTTTATTAAAAACAAATACTGTATATCTTCTCACAACAGAGGACACACCCTAGATCATTATAATAAACATGTATCTCTCACAACAGAGGACACACTCTGGATCATGATTTTATTTGTTTCAGTACACAATGAGTGACCTTCTGGAGCGGATCCAGGCGTCTGAGTCCGAGTTGGAGGATGGTCTGCGGAGCCTCCACGCCTGTCAAATTCACGGTGACTACAACACTGATGGTATGAGGACCAGGTGGAGGTCACGCGCTCACATGTCTCTGTCTCAGGGTTCTGGCGTCTGCTGGACTTTGATTATGAGATGAAGCTCTTGGGTCACGTGACGCAGCTGGTGGACTCTGAATCCTGGTCGTTTAATAAAGTTCCTCTTCAAAACTGTCTGGACGAGTTATCGGCGCTGGAGCCAAAGTGAGTCACTGATGTACAAAAGGCTCAGAGTGAGGTGTATTTCTGCCTGAAGTTGAATATTGAGCTACATACAGTTTTATTGGCTGCATTGCATTTGGCCTAAATGACATGATTAAAGCAAGGGAAGTTTTTTTTTGTATAGCACTGTTCATACACAAGTGCTGAACCAAACAAGAAAAACATTAAAATCACACAAGGCATTAATCATCATCATTAATAATCATAATGAGTAAAGATACAATCCATCAGTTGTTGCAGCTAAACTGAACTTTTTTTAACCTGGATTTAAATATTTCGAGAGAGAAAGCCTGCCTCACGTTTTCAGGAAGACTGTTCCCCAGATTGTAGCTGCATAAATCTGAAACGGTGCCTCCCTATGTTCAGTCCTGACTCTGTGCACCTTCAGTCCCTGTGCTCCTCAGAGTCCTAGTTGGTTCATTAGTTAGAGCTGCCCTGATGGTGATGTTTCTGTAATGTCTGTTTCAGGGAGATGATAGAACACTGTCTGAACTGTTACGGTCGGCGGTTTGTCGAAGACGGTGAGTGTGAGTGTAGTTCTGTGTCATCGTGGTCAGTGGATGAGTGATGTCTCCTCCTCAGGACTCGTGCTGTTCTCTCTGGACCAGGACTCCGTGTGCCGCGCCCTCGCTCTGCTGCTGCTGCAGAACGCTGTCAAGTTCAACCTGTCGGAGTTTCAGGAAGTCTGGCAGCAGAGCGTTCCAGACGGGATGAGCACGAGTCTCAGCCAGCTGCAGGTGAGACGCAACACAACTGTAACAACGCAGACGCAACACAACTGTAACGACACAACTGTAACGACACATCTGTGACGACACAACGGCACCACAACAGCGACACATCTGCGACGACACAACTCACAACTGCGACCACAACTGCATTGACAGAGACGCAACACATCTGCGACGACAAAACTGACGACACACTTGCGACGACAGAGCCGAATACATCTGTGACGACACATCTGCGACGACACACCCGCGACGACAGAGACAAACACATCTGCGACGACAGAGCCGAACACATCTGCGACGACAGAGCCGAACACATCTGTGACGACACATCTGTGACGACACATCTGCGACAACAGAGACGAACAACATCTGTGACGACACATCTGCGACGACAGAGACGAACACATCTGCGACGACAGAGACGAACACATCTGCGACGACAGAGACGAACACATCTGCGACGACAGAGCCGAACACATCTGTGACGACACATCTGCGACGACAGAGACGAACACATCTGTGACGACACATCTGCGACGACAGAGACGAACACATCTGTGACGACACATCTGCGACGACAGAGACGAACACATCTGCGACGACAGAGACGAACACATCTGCGACGACAGAGACGAACACATCTGCGACGACGGAGACGAACACATCTGCGACGACAGAGACGAACACATCTGCGACGACAGAGACGAACACATCTGCGACGACAGAGACGAACACATCTGCGACGACAGAGACGAACACATCTGCGACGACAGAGACGAACACATCTGCGACAACAGAGACGAACACATCTGCGACGACAGAGCCGAACACATCTGTGACGACACATCTGCGACGACAGAGACGAACACATCTGTGACGACACATCTGCGACGACAGAGACGAACACATCTGCGACGACAGAGACGAACACATCTGCGACGACAGAGACGAACACATCTGCGACGACAGAGACGAACACATCTGCGACGACAGAGCCGAACACATCTGCGACGACAGAGCCGAACACATCTGTGACGACACATCTGCGACGACAGAGACGAACACATCTGCGACGACAGAGCCGAACACATCTGTGACGACACATCTGCGACGACAGAGCCGAACACATCTGTGACGACACATCTGCGACGACAGAGACGAACACATCTGTGACGAACACATCTGCGACAACAGAGACGAACACACACTCTGCGACGACAGAGACGAACACATCTGCGACGACAGAGCCGAACACATCTGTGACGAACACATCTGCGACAACAGAGACGAACACATCTGCGACGACAGAGCCGAACACATCTGTGACGACACATCTGCGACGACAGAGACGAACACATCTGTGACGACACATCTGCGACGACAGAGACGAACACATCTGCGACGACAGAGCCGAACACATCTGTGACGACACATCTGCGACGACAGAGACGAACACATCTGCGACGACAGAGACGAACACATCTGCGACGACAGAGACGAACACATCTGCGACGACAGAGACGAACACATCTGCGACGACAGAGACGAACACATCTGCAACGACAGAGACGAACACATCTGCGACGACAGAGACGAACACATCTGCGACGACAGAGACGAACACATCTGCGACGACAGAGACGAACACATCTGCGACGACAGAGACGAACACATCTGCGACGACAGAGACGAACACATCTGCGACGACAGAGACGAACACATCTGCGACGACAGAGACGAACACATCTGCGACCACACTTCTGCGACCACACTTCTGCGACCACACTTCTGCGACCACACGCCTGTGACCACACGCCTGCGACCACACGCCTGCGACCACACGCCTGCGACCACACGCCTGCGACCACACGCCTGCGACCACACGCCTGCGACCACACGCCTGCGCCCACACGCCTGCGCCCACACGCCTGCGCCCACACGCCTGCGCCCACACGCCTGAAACGACAGCTGCAACGACATCTTGGTGAGGTTTTCATTGTGTTCCTCAAAAACAGTGATCAGAAACTGGCACAAACACATCCCCCCAACCCTTCTCTTAAAAACTCATATTTTCATGAACAGAACTGTTTTCTGACATGTACGTTTTTTTTATAAAACATTATTTGGGTAGGGTCCATTTTTGACACACACTCAAACACGCACACACCTGAACACACCTGTGTGGTTTCAGGGTTTGGCGCTGGTGGACCGTGGATCTCGGCCTCAGACCATCGCTCTGCTGCGTGTGGAGGATCTGCCCGAAGACACGCAGGAAAGATTCAACCAGCTCTTCACTCTGAGGGAGAAGTGGACCGAAGACGACATCACCCCCTACATCAAGTAAGCTCTCTGGTCTCTCTCTCTGGTTTCTTTTCTCTTATTTCTCTCTGGGCTTTCTCTGGGCTCTCTCTCTGGGCTCTCTCTCTGGGCTCTCTCTCTGGGCTCTCTCTCTGGGCTCTCTCTCTGGTCTCTCTCTCTGGTCTCTCTCTCTGGTCTCTCTCTGGTCTCTCTCTCTGGTTTCTTTTCTCTTATTTCTCTCTGGGCTTTCTCTGGTCTCTCTCTCTGGTCTCTCTCTCTGGTCTCTCTCTCTGGTCTCTCTCTCTGGTCTCTCTCTCTGGTCTCTCTCTCTGGTCTCTCTCTCTGATCTCTCTCTCTCTCTGGGCTCTCTCTCTGGTCTCTCTCTCTGATCTCTCTCTCTCTCTGGTCTCTCTCTCTGGTCTCTCTCTCTGGTCTCTCTCTCTGGTTTCTTTTCTCTTATTTTTCTCTGGGCTTTCTCTGGGCTCTCTCGTTTCTTTTCCCTTATTTCTCTCTGGTCTCTCTCTCTGGTCATTATCTTTGGTCTCTGTCTGGTTTCTCTGTCTTTTTCTTTGGACTCCCTCTTTCTGATCTCTCTCTCTCTGGTCTCTCTCTGATTTAAAAAAAAAAGTCAGCTTCCCTCCCACTAACACAGTTTTGTCCTGTTCCTCAGAGACCTGTGTGGAGAGAAGCAGACGACCGGAGCTCTTCTCACCAAATACGCTCGGTCTTCGACTCAGAACGGACTCAAAGTGTTCAACTCCAGAAGACCTGTCGCTACTTAGCTTTAACTGTTCCTCCTTATCCATTTAATAATGTGTTTTTAAAATGGAGCTGCAATTTTAGCATAACATCACAATGGGCATTTGAACTATGAATTTGAACCTTTTTGTGTCCTTCCAAATTGGCATAGAAGTCTTGTGACATTTCTCTATTTTAAGAGAGCTAATTGTGACGAGTTACATGATATTGTGATTAATCTTGCAGCTCTATTTAAACTACTCTCGTCACTTGTTCACTCTTGTTCACTGCAGATTTTAATGTGTTATTAAAGAAAAAAGTTTGCAGATTATGTGATATGTGATAGGTTTGCGTTGATAGGCTGTTGTTCTCATCTTCGTCCACAAGAGGGAGACAGATGCATGTATTCAGTTCACTAAAGAGTCAAAAGCAGAGGGCAGGTTTCTCACCCACAGAACTGTTGGAACCTAAACAATAATTATTTTTTGGAGTAAAACATGTGTATTCATTATTTCTGCTGTTTTTGGACATGTTTATCCAGATGTACCATTGTTTACACTTCTAAATACTCAGTGGTTATTAACTAATACTGTAGCCACACCTGCCCTGGGCCACACTTACACCTCCACAAACAATTCACACAGACCAGACTGATACGAGGCAATGTGAGCAACGTGTCTTGCCTAAGGACACAACAACAGGCAGATTACTCAGTTACTTGGTGTTCCCAGAGGTCTCCCATCACAGTACTAACCAGGCCCGCCCTCTTGAGCTTCAGAGGTCTTTTACCTGCAGGTGGCCACAGGTGCACCAGACATTTCTACTTGTTGAATATTTTCAATATGTTAAATCTTGTTTTAAATATATTGTATTATTTTACAATATCAACCATTATGTAAAAATAAAATGTTTTTGGTTGAATTGTATCTGTGTTTTTGATGATACTCAGGTCCTTTGCTGTAAACTGGGACAGATAAGAGTTTAGCTAAAATCAAACTTTGGGGGTCAAGGGAGAGAACGCAGACGCCACATTCTGTTGCTAATGACCACATCCAAAACAAACACATTTTTCCTCAGAATCAGTGTTAGCGAATTCTCTTGTGAAAATTCTTCACAACCGTGTAGCTGTTAGCAGCACGCAATGTTTGATGGTGTTTTTATTCTTTATACATTTTATCATATATACCATTTGATGCCGAAATCTCTTAAGCAACACACTTTTAAAGGGGACATTTAAAGGTCCTCGGTTCAAATCCCGGTCGGAACAGGGCCTTCATGAATAGAGTATATATATATAGTATATAAATACTAAATCATGTGCAATCTGCAATACTGCTCCTTCAGAATGTCACTGAACAATGCCACTTTACTTTATCTACTTATTATCCTGCACTATATGTACAGTTTATAACTCTGCACTACTACATATATATATATTTTTTTATTTTTAAAGACTGGTATTGAAGCATTTAAAACATTTACAGATAGTTAAGTAATACAGCTACTACTTTTTTTATATATTTTGTGTGCTCCCTGTGTGCTCTCACTACTGTCCTGTCTGTGCGCTGCAACATCGACATTTTCCCACTGTGGGACGAATAAAGGAGCTCTTATCTTTTTTGATATTTATATAGTGTAAAGTTATATACACATAGGACAGGATAATGAGTAGGACATTTCAACCTAGTTTTGATCATGGCCAGAGATAGATCAAAGATCGATAGATCAAAGATCGATAGATCAAAGATCGATAGATCCCGTTGGAGAAATTCAGGCGTCCAGTAGAAGCAGAAACACATCCATTCATACAAACAAAACAAATAAATAGATAAAGATTCTAAAAGTAGCTAACAATAGAACAATTCAACAGCACTTTAGGTCACAGCAGCCGCTCGGTTAGGACCATTTCCTCTGCTCTAGTCCAAAATAAAATACTGAATGCTTTGCTGGCATGTTTAGAGGCCCGTCTCACATCCTCAATACCTTCTTTAATGATTTCAAGACCGTGCTCTTTCACCCAGGTTTGTGGACGATACATTTATCAGGAATTTCCAGTTTTTCTTTGTCTCTGTTCCCAGCTTTAGCTCCGCCATCAAAGCAGAACTCACACATGTTCGCAGTGTGTCTGAATGATTCAGTCGAACAAACGCTGAGTCTGAGGAAACCTTCTGATGATTCACAGATTTCCACCATAGAGCAGAGTGACAGAGTGTGACATCACTGCAGTGTTAGTCTATGGTGACGTCATAGTTTCAACATAAGCTGGAGACAGGGAGGCAGACGATGCTGATTTGGTTCCATCCTGAGGCAAGGTGGAATTTCCCCCATGGATGAAGGCCTCTGATTGGTCAATCCTTACATTGGCTCATATCTGGATTTACAAAAACAATATCACAATATAAACACCAGGATCACAGAGAGTGATAAAACCATGGATGTATTAGGATAAAACACACCTTTTTTAAGTCCAAAATGGTGATTGTGACACAAACTGAGCTAGAGGAGTTTACTTCTACATGTAAGTCAAGAGAAGCCGGAGCGAGTTGGAGCCATAGACTGTAATTAATGATATTGGAGCCAAACTTCATTCCCTATTGTGCTTAATTGAGCTAGCGGGTTAGCATGGTCCATCTGTATACAGTCTGTGATTTCAGACTCATGTTTTCAGTCTGACGTCTCCTTCTTTCTTCCTGACCTTCAAGGTAAAAATCTGACCTCAGCGACATTTGAAAAAGGATCATTTCAAACACACAGGAGGTGTTTTTTTGCTGAATATTCCTCCCACACATTTCCTCTTTCCTGACATTTCTGAGTCACAGATTAAAACTGAGGAACCTATTTTTTTTCTTCATAAGCAACACATGTCATAGGAGTTGTTTTGAAAATGAAAATGTAGAAAATTTCATCTTTTGTTTTCTAAAGCGCCCTGTGAGTCACTATTGGACTCCAATAATTGGTGACAAATATGTTTCTACTTGACATACTGTAATAACAGTGGCAAATACCTTTGTTTGTTTCGTGGATGATTATGTCCTACAGTCCATTTTTACTTAGTTTTATGTGACTTTTAACTTATATCAAGCCTTTATTAGTTAAAAGATTTATAAGATTAGTGCCATATGATTCAACTCAGACTCTGAGGAGCACAGGGACTGGCCTCCTGCTGGTGCCAGAATCTGGAACAATCTTCCTGAAAATGTGAGACAGGCCTCATCTCTGATAATGTTTAAATCCAGGTTAAAAACAGTTTGGTTTAGCTGCATACAACGGAGGGCGCTCTGAGGGTCCTGTACCTGTGGGTCTGTACCTGTGCTCTGAGGGTCCTGTACCTGTGGGTCCTGTACCTGTGCTCTGAGGGTCCTGTACCTGTGGGTCCTGTACCTGTGGGTCCTGTACCTGTGCTCTGAGGGTCCTGTACCTGTGGGTCTGTACCTGTGCTCTGAGGGTCCTGTACCTGTGCTCTGAGGGTCCTGTACCTGTGGGTCCTGTACCTGTGCTCTGAGGGTCCTGTACCTGTGCTTTGAGGGTCCTGTACCTGTGGGTCCTGTACCTGTGCTCTGAGGGTCCTGTACCTGTGCTCTGAGGGTCCTGTACCTGTGGGTCCTGTACCTGTGCTCTGAGGGTCCTGTACCTGTGGGTCCTGTACCTGTGCTCTGAGGGTCCTGTACCTGTGGGTCCTGTACCTGTGCTCTGAGGGTCCTGTACCTGTGGGTCCTGTACCTGTGCTCTGAGGGTCCTGTACCTGTGCTCTGAGGGTACTGTACCTGTGGGTCCTGTACCTGTGCTCTGAGGGTCCTGTACCTGTGGGTCCTGTACCTGTGCTCTGAGGGTCCTGTACCTGTGGGTCCTGTACCTGTGGGTCCTGTACCTGTGCTCTGAGGGTCCTGTACCTGTGGGTCCTGTACCTGTGCTCTGAGGGTCCTGTACCTGTGGGTCCTGTACCTGTGCTCTGAGGGTCCTGTACCTGTGGGTCCTGTACCTGTGGGTCCTGTACCTGTGGGTCCTGTACCTGTGCTCTGAGGGTCCTGTACCTGTGGGTCCTGTACCTGTGCTCTGAGGGTCCTGTACCTGTGCTCTGAGGGTCCTGTACCTGTGCTCTGAGGGTCCTGTACCTGTGGGTCCTGTACCTGTGCTCTGAGGGTCCTGTACCTGTGGGTCCTGTACCTGTGCTCTGAGGGTCCTGTACCTGTGGGTCCTGTACCTGTGGGTCCTGTACCTGTGCTCTGAGGGTCCTGTACCTGTGCTCTGAGGGTCCTGTACCTGTGGGTCCTGTACCTGTGCTCTGAGGGTCCTGTACCTGTGCTCTGAGGGTCCTTTACCTGTGGGTCCTGTACCTGTGCTCTGAGGGTCCTGTACCTGTGGGTCCTGTACCTGTGCTCTGATTGAAGCAGACTGTAGTGTGAGTGCAGTGTGAGAGATGTCTGTGGAGATCTGGGAGCCATTCCTCCAAACGTTTTAATGGTAAATGACTGAATGAGTCTTGCTGCTGTCCAATGATATTTGTGCTGATTTGAGTTTTACCGACTGATGCTGTGGTGTTGGAGTAATTTTATTTTATTTGTTTAACATGAGCCGATTATCAACTGTACAACAAACAAAGGCTTGATAATAACCGCTCTGTGTGTAACAAGTTTGATATTTAAGTTGAAATTCAGAAAGAAAGGATCTTTGAACAATATTCTAGATGTTTGAATTTTGTCTGTTAAAAGGTACAGATGGATTTTCCCAAATTCTAGGGAACAACTCTACTCCACTTTTTCTTTTTTGAGAGAATGTATTTATTGCCAGAATAAAAAATATAGCCACAAAATCAGACATGGAGATTCTTATACTGAATTTATCTTCAGGAGGCAAGACTCCAGTAACGTCTGCGCCTTGGTCTCTTCAAAAAGCTGCAGCTCGAGTCCTGACTAGAACCAGGAAGTACCATCACAGTAGTCCTGACTAGAACCAGGAAGTACCATCACAGTAGTCCTGACTAGAACCAGGAAGTACCATCGCATTAGTCCTGACTAGAACCAGGAAGTACCATCACATTAGTCCTGACTAGAACCAGGAAGTACCATCGCATTAGTCCTGACTAGAACCAGGAAGTACCATCGCATTAGTCCTGACTAGAACCAGGAAGTACCATCACATTAGTCCTGACTAGAACCAGGAAGTACCATCGCATTAGTCCTGACTAGAACCAGGAAATACCATCACAGTAGTCCAGACTAGAACCAGGAAGTACCATCACATTAGTCCTGACTAGAACCAGGAAATACCATCACATTAGTCCTTGTCACTCCCGTATTCGTCCCAGAAACCAGATTCATCCGGAAGTTCAGTTTGCGCATGTCAAAAAGTGTAATAAGTCCTTAAGTGGTGACTGGTTAAGTTTAGGGTTAAGGCTGGGTTGGGGTTATTTTATGGGAATGGCTGGTTAAGTTTAGGCGTGAATAGGTAGTTTTTTATATTTACTGCCGCTTCCGTCCAAATTCCGTGATCATTGGATCAAACTGAACTTCCGGACGAATCCGGTTTCCGGGACGAATACGGGAGTGACAAGGACTAATGTGATGGTACTTCCTGGTTCTAGTCAGGACTAATGCGATGGTACTTCCTGGTTCTAGTCAGGACTAATGTGATGGTACTTCCTGGTTCTAGTCAGGACTAATGCGATGGTACTTCCTGGTTCTAGTCAGGACTGTCACTCCCGTATTCGTCCCGGAAACCGGATTCGTCCGGAAGTTCAGTTTGATCCAATGAGCATACGCAGCAGCAGATTACGTCACGGAATCTGGACGGAAGCGGCAGTAAATATAAAAAACTACCTATTCATGCCTAAACTTAACCAGACATTCCCATAAAATAACCCCAACCCACCCTTAACCCTAAACTTAACCATCTTAATCAGACGTCTAAACTTAACCAGTCACCACTTAAGGACATATTAAACTTTTTGACATGCGCAAACTGAACTTCCGGACGAATCCGGTTTCCGGGACGAATACGGGAGTGACAGTCCTGACTAGAACCAGGAAGTACCATCGCATTAGTCCTGACTAGAACCAGGAAGTACCATCACATTAGTCCTGACTAGAACCAGGAAGTACCATCGCATTAGTCCTGACTAGAACCAGGAAGTACCATCGCATTAGTCCTGACTAGAACCAGGAAGTACCATCACATTAGTCCTGACTAGAACCAGGAAGTACCATCGCATTAGTCCTGACTAAAAGTTGTTTTTTTTATTGTTTGTTGCACACAACATTAAAAGCAGTTAGTTACAGTTGTTGACAACGAGTACAGTCTGTGTGTTTATTTATTTTTTATTTTTTATTCCACCCCTCCCAATTTGTCTCCAGGTTGATAGAGTGTATCTCATAAAATTATGTTTAGCTAAGTATAAAAGGTAAATAAGTAAACAAGTCCACGAAGAGAGAAAAAATAAATAGAAATAAAAAGACAAAGAAATGAAAGAATAAAAATAAAATAAAAAGGGCACCCACATGTATTAGTTTACATATAGACAGGTATACACACATCCATCCATGTTCATACATACACCCTTGCATATATATATATACACATACACACCACTTATACACACACAAGTTCATGTACCTTCAGAACACACCTTCATACATATTAGCATCTACTCCACTTTTTGAACTTTGGTCGTCTAATCTTATTTGACGAGCACGTATCACCAGAATGATTGACAAATGGGAGGACCAATAGTCTTGATGATCCACCCCGAAGTAGAAAATCCTCCTGTATACCTTTAATACAGTAAGTAAAGGTTCCAAGGAAAACAATAACATCTCTATGGTAACGAGCAGGGCTGTTGTGAGACCCAGACCGTCGTCTCCGTGCTCTTCCCGTCCATTCAGTTTAACATGCTCCTTTCCGTCTCTAAACTCCGGTCACACAAAAGAAACTTCTTCAGAGATGTTTAAAATGTTTGATTTATTTACAGATCGCTCACTGCATCAAAACAACCAAACAATCACATTCAGAGATAATCTTAAAGCTGGGGTACCTAACTTTAACTTTAAAACCAAATATAATACTTCTAACTCGCCCGGTTTGGCTTCTATCACTAGTTTCATTACTGTTACTATTACTGGCCTTTAGATCATCCCTCAGTAAAAAGAGGACCAGCCTCATTCAGCCAATCAACTCTGAGCCCAAAGAGTCAAATAGTGACTCACAGGGATCTTTTCTAGCACCAAAATAATAAGAATCATAACATACTATCTACACATGTCATTTACTGTGTGTAGGAAGCGCAGTACCCCAGCTTTAGTGGTCGTTACACTTGACCAGGCGATAATAAAAAAGTGGGTTCAAGAATTCCAATACTTTAAAAGAATGCCCTGAGGAGAAGTCAAAACAGAAACACAATCACATTAAAACAATTCAAATCATTCCTTCACAAGAAAATAAACAAATTCCCTAAAATATTAAATAACCGCAGGAGATCATGTGACACCACTGACAGCAGGTGGCGATAGAGGGCGACATCTGAACCTTAGAAGCTTTGTGGATTCATGTGAACGCCCAAGTTCAAACGAAGACTTTGATTTCATATTTCTTCATAATGTTGGTTTGTTCTCTCCTCCACAGACACAGGTTCTTTGAAATCCTCTTGTTTGATGAGACACAGAGTATGTTTGTTACAAAGGCTTAAGAAAACAGAGAACACTAGTCACCGTTGCTCCCAAACCGGTCTGAACACTGGTCTGAGGCGGTCTGTCCCTTTCTCCATATGGGGCTCCCTGAGGTTTCTCACTTTTCTATCACTGTTTTTTTTTCTATCCTTGGTGATGCAGGAGGGGCTAAGGCAGGGGTCACCAACACTATGCCTGTGGGCACGGTCACCTGCAAGGACCACAAAAGACGCCCGCGATGCATGATCTTTATGTAGCATTGGTCCCGGCGCCTGTTGACCCGGTCTTTTGTCTTCACCCATTCACTCAGTGGTTGGCATTTGCGAAAGAGCAGATACGTGCAGTCCACTATTCTCTGTTTTAAAAGTGTGTTTTAAAGTGTCCAAAAAGAGTCTGAATTCACAGAGATATGAGCCGCTCAAGAGTCCGGTTTGGACTTTCCGAATCCGAATCAAAACTCTCTGCCTCCTAAAGTTCAAAACTTATTCCACGATAGACACGATCGTCATAGTTACAAACTTAGAGGAAACCAAATTAAATATCTACCTAAATTTAGAACTACTCTAAAGTCAATGTGTATCTCAGTGCGGGGTGTGAAACTTTGGAATAACTTGCCGAATGAATTAAAAAACTGCTCAAGCATAATTCATTTCAAACAGTTGTTTAAAAAAAATGTTTTAAAAAAATATAAAGAGGAAGGAGAGTGATGCCCTCAACATGAAGTAAAGGGGTGAGGGTGTAGGGTCAGAGAGTGTTTGGGCCTGTGTCTGTGAGGTGTTGTGTGTATCTGTGGTGTGTTGTGTGTGTGTGTGTGTGTTGTCTTGTTTTGTCCTGTCTCTGTAGTCATGTCATGTATTAGTTCATTCTATGTACCGTATAAGTTTCCAGCTGTTTACGAATAATCCTGTATGTATAAGGTTCTTGTACTGTACTTTGTGTTGAATGTGTGAGGGGGTTGGAATTTAATAAGCATTTGCTTCATCCACCTCCTTTTCAAACCATGCACCTGTATATTTGTCTGTTATGTTGATTTTTGAGATGATGTTTGTGCAGGTTTTGAAATAAATAATATCTATCTATGTTAGAGGAAAATATAAGACTGGGGTTATGGGGTATGTACAATCTCCCATTTTTGACCCGTCTTCGCAAAGTTTAATGGATTTCATTTCAGCAATAACTAGTTGCCCTCGAGCCATTTGGTCATTTTGAAGTAGCCCTCGGATTCAAAAAGGTTGGTGTCTCCTGGTCTAAGCACAGTGATGATCCAGGACATTTATTTTAATGTATCGGCATTGGTCATCCTGTTCCCTATGGAGCAGTGACCAATGAATGTGTAAGAACAGTTTGATTCTTTGATCTGTTGTTGGTGAATTAACAAATTTGTACAGTCCTCTGAGACAACTGCTGCTAATTGAATTGTTCCCAGTCCCAGGCTGATGGAGCCTTGTTATGTGTTTAAAAACTCTCGAAAAAAAACAACTAAAAAAGTTTCTAAATGTACTGGGTGGTGTCAGCAGGATTTCCTCCAGGTGTGTGTGGTGTCAGCAGGATTTCCTCCGGGTGTGCGTGTCGGCAGCAGCAGTTCTACCGGGGCAGCATCTCCTCCAGGTCCCCCACCACGAAGGCCACCACGGCCCACAATGCCGAGCACAGGTCCATGTGGTGCGGGTCCTGCACCGTGAGAGTGTCGCCCTCAGTGTGGTGGAACCAGAAGTATTTAGAGTCGGCCACGTGGAGACTGGCTCCTGCAGAGAAGACAGGATTAAAATGACCTACTCACAGTGTAGAAGGTGTTCCTGTAGGGGGCGCTCCAAGAGATTTTCCCCTTAGACCTCAGTGTAAACTAAAACAGATAATCCTCAGCTGACGGGAAACTACAGCTTTCACAGAGGTCAGGCTCGTCTTGAATCGTGAACTGTTTTACATTTAAAATCGGTTTTCTACAAATTCTCACTTTTGGGCAACAAATTCACCGCGCTCTTGATTGGTCAGAACCCCCTCTGGTCTCTCTCCCTCTGGTCTCTCTACCTCTGGTCCCTCTCCCTCTGGTCCCTCTCCCTCTGGTCCCTCTCCCTCTGGTCCCTCTCCCTCTGGTCCCTCTCCCTCTGGTCCCTCTCCCTCTGGTCTCTCTACCTCTGGTCTCTCTACCTCTGGTCTCTCTACCTCTGGTCTCTCTACCTCTGGTCCCTCTCCCTCTGGTCTCTCTCCCTCTGGTCCCTCTCCCTCTGGTCCCTCTCCCTCTGGTCCCTCTCCCTCTGGTCCCTCTCCCTCTGGTCCCTCTCCCTCTGGTCCCTCTCCCTCTGGTCCCTCTCCCTCTGGTCCCTCTCCCTCTGGTCTCTCTACCTCTGGTCTCTCTACCTCTGGTCCCTCTCCCTCTGGTCCCTCTCCCTCTGGTCCCTCTCCCTCTGGTCCCTCTCCCTCTGGTCTCTCTACCTCTGGTCTCTCTACCTCTGGTCTCTCTACCTCTGGTCCCTCTCCCTCTGGTCCCTCTCCCTCTGGTCTCTCCCTCTGGTCTTTCCCTCTGGTCTACCTCTGGTCTACCTCTGGTCTACCTCTGGTCTACCTCTGGTCTACCTCTGGTCTACCTCTGGTCTACCTCTGGTCTACCTCTGGTCTACCTCTGGTCTACCTCTGGTCTACCTCTGGTCTCTCTCTCCAGTCTCTCTCTCCAGTCTCTCTCTCCAGTCTCTCTCTCCGGTCTCTCTCTCTGGTCTCTCTCTCTGGTCTCTCTCTCTGGTCTCTCTCTCCAGTCTCTCTCTCCAGTCTCTCTCTCCAGTCTCTCTCTCCAGTCTCTCTCTCCAGTCTCTCTCTCCAGTCTCTCTCTCCAGTCTCTCTCTCCAGTCTCTCTCTCCAGTCTCTCTCTCCAGTCTCTCTCTCCAGTCTCTCTCTCTGGTCCAGAACTGTCCAGAACGTGTCACTTCTGCTAATGTTTGGGACGTTCATGGTGCTAGCATGAGCCAATTAGCTTGATCCAGATAAACTGACCTTTCATGAGCAAAATAGATTAAAAAAAAAGTCTCAATGCTCTTGATTGGTTGTGATTTAGAGCAACATTTGAAATGATCCTTGAAACATACACACAGAAGCTCCTTGTATAAATAGACAGATGAAAGATATCGGTCAAATCAATCCACCCATGTTCTTCCTCTTTATCTGTGGCTGAGTGGCGGAGGCAGCCTTCTAAGCAGAGTCAACCACACTTCACTTCCCACGTGTAAATATTCTATTAAATAATCCCCTTTGGAAACCTCAGCCGTCTGTGAGGATGTGAAACTGTACAGTGTTTGTTAGACATACACACAGAGACACACACACACACACACACAGAGATAGACACACACAGAGATAGACACAGAGACACACAGACACAAACCTGGGACTCCAGCTTCCATCCAGGGAGAGATGTCGGTGCCTTCTCCGTGAGGTTCCAGTTTGGTGGTGTTGATGGGAGCCAGCAGCTGCACCACCTGCTCCATCACCTGCTCACACAACCGTCAGTGTGAATCCATTTATGACAACAGTCTCTGACCCACATTAGAGTGTGTGTGTGCGTGTGTGCGTGTGTGCATGTGTGCGTTTGTCTACAGTAGTAGTTTATCACGCATGTATGGAGTGAAAAAATAATTAGTGTCCAACAAACTGTGTATAAAACTAATACATTATTATTATAATTATTATTATTATTATTATGAAAGCATTTGCTGTTTGTGGTGAAGGCGGGCCCAGAGGATGTACCTTCTGTGCCGCTTCGGAGCCAGTGAACTGCAGACCCACAGGTTTGAACGTGCCGAGGTCCGACTCCATGACGAGGTCGAAGTCCGACAGATTCACCTGGAGCAGATTCAAACATTCAGGAGGTCAGAACATCCTCAAACCACAGAAAGGTCTGTAAATAACTGTAATATTATAGTGATTACATGAATAAATGGGAGGTTTTGAAGCTCCTGACCTTGTGTAGATTATAATACTGCTGGGCTCCCACTCCGCCCTGCTCCTCCCCCGTCCACAGCACCGTACGCAGAGTCCTCCTGGGACGCAGACCTACAGAGGAACACTGGTCAACATCAAACTGTGGGAAGTCTGTCAGAGAGACCAGAGAGAGATCAGAGAGAGATCAGAGAGAGACCAGAGAGAGACCAGAGAGAGAGCAGAGACAGACCAGAGAGAGAGCAGAGAGAGAGCAGAGAGAGACCAGAGAGAGACCAGAGAGAGAGACCAGAGAGAGAGACCAGAGAGAGACCAGAGAGAGACCAGAGAGAGACCAGAGAGAGACCAGAGAGAGACCAGAGAGAGACCAGAGAGAGACCAGAGAGAGATCAGAGAGAGACCAGAGAGAGATCAGAGAGATTTCAGAGAGAGAGCAGAGACAGACCAGAGAGAGAGCAGAGAGAGAGCAGAGAGAGACCAGAGAGAGACCAGAGAGAGAGACCAGAGAGAGAGACCAGAGAGAGACCAGAGAGAGACCAGAGAGAGACCAGAGAGAGACCAGAGAGAGACCAGAGAGAGACCAGAGAGAGACCAGAGAGAGACCAGAGAGAGACTAGAGAGAGACCAGAGAGAGACCAGAGAGAGACCAGAGAGAGACCAGAAAGAGATAAGAGAGACCAGAGCGACAGACTAGAGAGAGACAAGAGAGAGAGAGAAAGAGACGGGAGATCGAGAGAAAGACTACCGATACCAGGGAGAGACCAGAGCACAGACAGACCAGAGAGACCAGAGAGAGCGAGAGAGACTAGAGATACCAGGGAGAGACCAGGGAGAGAGACAATAATAGTAATAATCAAAACAACCTATTATGTTACATCTAGTCACTTTAGCTTTGTTTGCTCATTTCAGCCCTAGAGCTCGTACCCAGGTCTTGGATCAGGGACAGCGCCTCCCAGGAGATCATGGCTCCTCCCCCATCGTCCATTGCTCCCTGTCCCACGTCCCAGCTGTCCAGGTGACCACTGAGCAGGACCACCTGAAACACAAGGATCCAAATGGAAAAGTCAAATAGATAGATCGATAATTTATTGATCCCTGTGGAAGAAATGCATGTGTCCAGCAGCAGAAGCACATCAGTCCATACAAACAAAAAAATACATAATTCTAAAAGTTATAACGATAGTAAAAAAAAAAATGCATCAGCAGCATAGGTGCGCTGCTGGTTGATGTCTGCAGAGTGTGCTTGGTTCGGACCATGTGATATGAATTATCTATAGTTATTTGATGAATCTGGATTATTTCACTGGTTTCATAACATTTCTGTCCAGCAAGACCTGTTTATGAACGTTCAATAGATTTACCTTTTGACTCAGATCAGCTGCAGATGTAGGCAGAGAAAGATTATTAGTATAGCACAGTTTATACACAAGGAAACTCAAAGTGCTTAAAGATGCTATACCCCATTTTTTTGTATGAGTTCATAAAAATGCTTATTACTTCATACAAGTTGTATTATGTAAGTAATTAGTAATCTTTATTTATATACCGCCTTTTCACTGCACATCGGAGTCTCAAAGCGGTTTACAATTGTGATTTTTGGGAGTGGGAGGGGCCAGTACAGGAGGCACATGCCAGACCTATTGTACATATTTTTAGTGGTAGGGGAAACCGGAGCACCCGGAGGAAACCTACGCAGACACGGGGAGAACATGCAAACTCCACTCAGAAAGGCCCTGGTCCAACCGGGATTCGAACCCAGGACCTTCTTGCTGAGAGGCGAGAGTGCTATCCACTCAGCCACCGTGCCGCCCAACATGATCCGCAATTTAATTGAAAACTTGAGCTCATTGATTCAGCTGTGTATGAATTCAGGCTGTAAAAAGTGCTGAGTAGAGACAGAACGAGGCTGCATCCTCTAGCTTCTACAGAGCAGGTAAACAAGAGCAGCATGTTAGCAGAAAGTGGCTATAACTCCTCTTGCTGTTACTGCAGACACAACAAAACAGCCCAAACGATGCAACAGTGAGGAAGAGAAGAGGGATCTAAAGCCAAAAAATGATCAAAGAAGAAACATAGTTCACTTACATCGTATCCTCTGGAGAGACTTGTTTATGGGAGAGACCTGCGGGACTGCCTCGGACTGTCTATGCTCGGACCACATTCGGACGTGAAACTAGTGGTGATCTTTCAGTTATATATTTTGTTGCGTTGCTTTTGTACCATTTCATCAGTGATTGTTGTACAGCTTACAAGAAGTTGTGCTCATGCTAACGTACTAGATCGCAAATAAATCTAGATGGCTCCGTGGGATGAGAGCGAACGGGAAATGAGAAGCCTGTGAGCGAGTTGGGGGGCGGTGCTAAACATTCAAACATTGCAGAAACGGGTATAGCTCCTTCAAGAAAACAAGAGCAAAAGCATCAGAATCATATTTCATGAATCTTAAGCGCAGCTGTATATGAGCTGAGTGTAAGTTGGATAATATAAACATATGTGTTTTCATGTCGTAATGTAACACGTAACCAGCCGCTGATGGAGCAAAACGCCGCAGATGAATGACTGATTTAACTGATTTAACTGATTTAACTGGACACAGCGCAATTTAAGGACGAGGTGTTTTGATGCACGGTGGCTGAGTGGATAGCACTCTCGCCTCTCAGCAAGAAGGTCCTGGGTTTGAATCCCGGTCGGACCAGGGCCTTTCTGAGTGGAGTTTGCATGTTCTCCCCGTGTCTAGGTAGGTTTCCTCCGGGTACTCCGGTTTCCCCTACCACTAAAAATATGTACAATAGTTCTGGCATGTGCCTCCTGTTCGGCGACCCCGCTCCCATCTCTGTGTGGAGTCAGAGGACAAATACCCAAAAATAATAACAATTGTAAACTGCTTTGAGACTCTGGTCTGTGAAAGGCGGTATATAAATAAAGATTACTTACTTACTTACTTACACTGTTGATGGTCAGAGGCCTCTGTAAAATAGCCCTAATCCAAGAGGGCCACTTTAGTTAAGCAGCAACATTAAATAGTATCATGTTTTTATACTCTGCAGGAGACACATCTGCTCCAATAGTCTTTGCCTCGAAGTGTTGTTCCTTTCTGATAGAAGACGGCTGAGGCTGGAGCAGAGGCAGACACTATGTGGAGAATAGAATATTTTACAGATGGACAAAGTTTATGTTTAAACCAAAAGATCAACCTCACGCAATAACATCATAGGCTACATTTAGTTTGTATATGCACTGGTTTATACAGTATTTGGTGAAAATAACGTCCTCGCTGAGTGAAGGAGAGGTTCCACAGGTCTTCCCTTCCTGCTGCTGTCAGACTGTACAATGAGAACTGCTGAGTCTATACACGTGTCTCTCACCTGGTCATTCTGGGCATATTCTCTGGTGCTAAAGTGCAACAGAAACATGTGTAAATACCTCCTGCTGACTACAGTGTATACTCCAGGATAACTCACTAGACTTTATCATATTTTTATTTTAATCTATGTTATGAGCTATTATCTTTAATAATATATCCTGTTTGATTCTTGAAGCCTGAGTCTCTTATTTCCTACTTCTATTCTGCTGTAATGTGCCCAACGATGACATTGAAATCTCCCCACAGAAGGACAAATAAAAGCTTATCTTATTTCCAAGTAATGCAGTAGTTGTGAAACGCTTTACAATTCAGAGACAGTAATATTGTAGTGTACAATAACACATTAATTTGAAATAACAGTAACAAGTAGCACACAAGTAGTATTATGTTTTTGAAGTAACAGAGATGATGGATTGGTTCTGTGGTTCTGTGGAATGTGGTTTTCCCGGCAGCCGCCTGTGACCTCATGATTCACCAATCACTGACCTGAACATGGATCAGTCCTGACCTCGAGTTCACCGTGTGTCACCGAGAACCACTGCTCTGAGAAAATAAACACTTATGCAACAATACTGGACTGGGCTTTTATCTAATGTCCACATGGACACTGAGATACTGATACTGAGACATCATAGTTTGGATCCATGTATTGGAGTTTTTTTTTGGTGCCGAAACACCTCTATGGGAAATGTTGAAAAAGATAATGTCCTGTTGTTTTTCCAGATTATTTGATAGTGATTAGATTCACAAAGCTGCTATATAATTCTTATGTGAAACCAGAGAGAGACTGCTCTCTATCTTTGGGAGACCAAAGAGAGCAGGAAGAGACCAGAGAGAGACCAAAGAGAGGCCAGAGAGAGACCAGAGAGTGGCCACAGAGAGAGACCAGAGAGGGGCCACAGAGAGAGACCAGAGAGAGAGACCAGAGAGTGGCCACAGAGAGAGACCAGAGAGAGAGAGACAGAGAGGGGCCAGAGAGAGAGACCAGAGAGAGAGACCAGAGAGGGGCCAGAGAGAGAGACAAGAGAGAGGCCAGGGAGGGGGCAGAGAGAGACCAGAGAGAGAGACCAGAGAGAGAGACCAGAGAGAGAGACCAGAGAGAGACCAGAGAGAGACCAGAGAGAGACCAGAGAGAGAGTCCAGAGAGAGAGACCAGAGAGAGAGACCAGAGAGAGGGACCAGAGAGAGGGACCAGAGAGAGGGACTAGAGAGAGAGACCAGAGAGAGGGACCAGAGAGAGGGACTAGAGAGAGAGACCAGAGAGAGGGACCAGAGAGAGGGACTAGAGAGAGAGACCAGAGAGAGGGACCAGAGAGAGACCAGAGAGAGACCAGAGAGACAGACCAGAGAGAGAGACCAGAGAGAAAGACCAGAGAGAGAGACCAGAGAGGGGGACCAGAGAGGGGGACCAGAGAGAGGGACCAGAGAGAGGACAGAGAGATCCTTATGTCTGAAAACCCTTTCTACTGGCCTACATGATGCATATGTTTTTTGAATATTGTGACCAATATGTGGAGCTTTGTGACAGTTTTTGTTTCATATTGATTGTTCCTGGAAATACAGAGAAATTAGACTAGATCATAGTCTAGAGCCAAACTAAGACTATATTCTGTTCTTTTCTGGGCTCAAAAGTATTGAGACAAACTAATAAAATCTTAAAAATTAGGTACCCCAACTTTAACCTGTGTCCGTGAGAGATAACAAGAGCAGAACCACAGACGCTGCAGCAGTAGAATGTTTCACTGTCTCACACAAGTGTTTCATTTCCCTTTTTTCTCCGGACAGAAGTGAGCAGAAAACCACAGAATACATCTGCAAACTGAAATAATGTCGGCTCATCAAGTTAAAAAATGAGAACAAACTCATGATTCAACTTATTTCAAACATGAGAGACTTTAGATCTTTGTGCTGACGTCGAACTTTCCCTCCGCACTTTTGTCGACCTGCTCGTGAGATTTTATCAAGGAAGAAAAAGTTGAAGCATCCAGTCTCCAGATCGCAGTGTTAAAGAATATGACACAATGGTTATATTGACGTTTACTTTGTCATTGAATATATCTAAAAATAAATAATAAATTAGTACGTTTATTTTACGTTTACATTCAAATTCACTGGAAACGGCAAGTCCCAAGTATCTCTGAAACAGTTGTTTTGTGTTTTACAATTGTTTTTTTTCTTGCTTTTTTTCAAGCTGTAAATGTTTCTGCAGTACAGTGTTCATGGTTTTACACTGATCCAGAGCAGAACAAAGAAAATGATCAGAACCAAACAGACTCTGCAGACATCAACCAGAGGAAGCAGCTCATCCTCAGCAGCTGCACCACCTCTGCTGCTGTGACCTAAAGTGTGTTGAATTTTATTTCTACTGTTAGTAACTTTAAGAATTGTGCATTTATGTGTTTGTGTGGATAGTTGTGTATCTGCTGCTGGACACCTGCATTTTCTCTACATGATTCATAAATCCTAAAATTCTTTCCTGTTATATTTTAAACGTATGTGCTCATTGACCTAAAACATGGTACCTGCTCCGGATGCTGCCAGCCTCTGATCTCAGCCACAGTGTTGAAGGAGTCTGCGTCCGGGAGGGTGGTGGCCCCCATGTTGAGAAGCACCTCGATGTGTTCTCCTCTCTGAGACATGCGCCACATCAGCTCCGCGTCCTCCACCGTGATGCAAGCGGCCGGGATCTTCACCACGCCGTCCTGGTAGTCCTGCACGCCGGTGTGCGGACTGTGCAGAGGAGAACATGGAGGAAGAATTTGTTCTATTTGTTTGATGAACCTGGAATATTACTGAGGCTTCTAAACATTTCAATTCATATGTTGTGAACAAATAATAACAATGCATCTGTTATACTGCGTTTTTCTGGACACTCAATGACGCTTTTATATGTCATCATTCACTCCAAACATGGTGGTGATTAACTACTACTGTAGCCAAAGCTGCCCTGGGGCACACTGACAGGAGCGAGGCAACCAGTCTGTGCCATCGGCCCCTTCCACCACCACCACCAACCATTCACACACCAGACTCATTCTAATGCGAATGTCTTTCCTTAGGACATAACCAGTTTGGCACTTTACAGTCACAGCTGCCCCCGCCTCGTCACCATCCATCTATCCATCTATATTTGTCTATATCTGTCTCTATATGTCACAAGGCAAATTCCATCTTCCACAAATGGTTCAAAAAAGTGGAAAACCGGAAGTGTCTCTCCATAACGATAACGACCCAAAGTACAAGATTCACTCTCTCCCCACAAGTTTCTTCCGCAGAGTGACTGTCCACACAGTAGGAGCTTGGGGTAGATCCACTGCTCCTCCACACTTAGGACACTCACCTGTTGATGGAGAAGGGAGTGATGGATCGTATGAGAGCAGCCACAGCTCCCAGTTTAGCTGCTTCTGAGGCTCCGAAGGCTCGATACGCCACGGTCTCTCCGTACGACACAAACGGCTGGTTATAGACCACGATCTTCCCCTTGACATCGGCTCCTCTGCTCTTCAGCTCCGTAAAGGACCGCACCACCACCACCTCCGCCCTGATCCCTGGAGAGGAGAGAGAGAACAAGATCATTCCACTATTTAGACAGATAGATACATCATTTAACATTAAACTTCACATTAAACTTTTGATTTGTAAGAAAGCCTGTTTTCTAGCAAAGAATGTAGTTTATCTCAAAGAGAACCTTTATTTATCCCACAGTGGGGAAATTCCCCCTATATATCTATCTAAGATGTATCTATCAGAGCCTTAAGTGCACAGCAGCTGAGAGTGATTCTCGGCCTGATGGAAAAAACGTAAAAATAAACATAAAACAGGCATCAGGGGACAGAAATGTTAGATTGAGGCCCCTTGCTGCATGTGCCTAATGTACAGCAGGGGCCTCCAGCCTCTCTCATCCAGAACTACTTTCTCAGGACCAAAATGGCAACAGTTACTTCTTAACTGTCTGGGGAACAATTCTATTTGATGATTACAGATAGCCTTAGATAAGCTCACATTACTATTAATAGTCATTCTATATAATTATTATTATAATTACAGCTTTTGTGTGCATTTTCAGGAGTTGTGTGCAAAAGAAAATCATACATTTTGGAACATTTAGAGCATATTTACATAATTTCTAAATTCTTTGGGGAGATCCTTGCAACAGGGTGGAGAGCTATTGGTAGGTCCCGGGCAATAGGTTGGAGATCCCTGATGTATAGACAGAGGGGCTTCATTGCGGTCTTTTCGATTTTCTGACTGTGTGCTCCTCATTCCTACTGTTCTGTAACTGGTGATGCAACACTGACATTTCCCTACTGTAGGACAAATTCATCTTAATTGCGTGTGGCGGAGCTGTGCTTGCCTCCAGGAGGGGTCCCCACACTGCTGCCCAGTCCCAGCATGGCCAGGGGTTTGGGTCTGGGCTGAAGCATCTCTGCACTCTCTTTGCCTCTGACCCAATGAGGGACTTTCACCGGCTCTGAAACAACATGCAGTCGTTATAAACAAGGCACGTTACCACAATGTTCTGGTTATTATATTGAAGCAGGGGACTTTACACAGCAGAAAGAGTCTTGTAAAAGTTAAAAGTTGTGAATAGATCAGACTACAACTGTCTTTATCTTATTACAAACACATGTCATCTTGGCGTAGAAAAGAGCCAGTCACTATTTGACTCTTTGGGTTAAGGTTCTTTGTCATATCTTTACATCAGCTTTTTCAGACAGAAAAGTGCCAAAGGCCAAACATACATGCTCCACGGAGGATTAGAGCTAACTATAACAAGCTATTTGTTTGAAATTCTGTGGATAGCAACGACATAGCAACCAAGAGCCAATCAGGAGTGGCCCTGGTCTTCCCCCACTGTGCTAAGGCAGAAGTCTGGGACAGAAGACAGCTGATTGGCCAGACAATGTCACAATATAAAGACTAGGATTATAGAGAGCGATAAACCAGGAAATTTTAATCAGAATCAGAATCATTTTTAGTGCCATGTAAGTAACAGGAAGTCACAGACTAGGAAATTGGTTTGGCTCTCGGTCAAAAGTAGAGAAGAATAAGGCATAATAAAACATTTCTTACGCCAAATATGGTGAGTGTGACACAAACAGTTACTGAACAAGGAGTTTAGTTTTACATGTAAGTCAATAGGAGCCAGAGAGAGTTGGAGCAAAACTTCACCATTAGGCTTCATTGAGCTAGCAGGTTAGCATTGTCCATCTGTATACAGGCAGTCTCCTCACCCAGATGCACCTCCAGGCCGTCCAGAGCCATGGCCTTGTGCATGTAGTTGATGGCGTTCTCCAGGTTCTTGGATCCACTCACGCGGTTCCCGATGGCGTCGGTGAAGTCTGCCAGGCGTCTGTACGAGCGATTCTGGGCCGCTCCGTTCACAGCCAGGTCGATGATGCGTTTGGCCACATCCGCGTAAGCAGCCACCTCTGCAGCTCTATCTGAGGATCAAACAGGACAGAGGATTTATAAACACACACATACAGACACACAGGTACGCGCACACATACACACACACCTCTGTCTGAGGAAGAAACAGAGGTAATTCATACTTTTTAAGAAGCAAGACCTCAACAACAAAAACAAAGCTTGTAGTATGAAGTATAGGCCTAAACTCAAGTTTGTTTATTTATTTGTTCATTTGGACAGTGAATATTATTGAACATCGGATTGTCACCTTGGGATAATTTTCATCCATTTTCCTCACAGTCGCACTCAACTGTTGGACATATGTTTTTAGTGGTAGGAGAAACCGGAGAACCCAGAGCCTACACAAGACACAGGAAGAAACTCCATACAGAAAGGCCCAGTCTTGAGGTGGAACCATAGACCTTCTTACTGTGAAGCACTTGTGCCAACCACTGTGCCACTCAAGAACAACAAAATTACATATTTATGTTCTTGCAGCTCAAGGTGTCAGCTGAGAGACACAGTCCTCCAAAGTGTCCTAACCATCCTAAACAGATGCAGAAGTCATCTCAACTGACTCACCGAGATGTGGAGGAGCAGCAGCTCTACTCCATGCTCCTATCGTGTGACTGAGCTCCTCCCTCTCTCTAAAGAAGCGCACAGTCACTCTTTGGAGGAAAGTCATGTGGTGTGCTTGTGACTTATTGACGGATTCATGTTTTAGAATCCTCTCACTCACATAGATGACTTATTAACCACTGACTAAAGACAATGATAATGTAATAGGAATATATCAAATGTCGTGAAGCTAAGCTGTCGTGAAATAATATATAATATAGCGCAATTCTAAAAGTAGCTGTCCCAACACTGGTTACTGGTAACAAAGGTCTCAAATAGTTCCATTACTGTATGTATTTGGGATTCTTGTGTGCCTTACTATTTCAGGCTCTATCTGCAAATATGAGCCCATAGCATTGATATCAGGACCAAAGTTATAATACACCAACTGTTGTTGTAAATGTTTCTCACCTTTTCCATGTGTGGAGTTGTGTGGATGACAGCTGCCCACGTTTGAACCAATGTAGAAAAAAGTAAATATAAAAAACAGGACACACACGTGCTTTCTGGGGTCCATCTGCAAACAGGACATCATCACAGAACTGTCTCATATTCTCTGTAATCTGTGTAATCTCATGTACTCACCGGGACTGCAGGATATTGCTCTATATCAAAGTTTCAGGATGAAAAGTGAAAGTATTTCTGCAAGAATCATGTGATGCAGTCCGAGTTCGTGGTGATAAGACATAAACAACGAACTCCTCTCACTCACAAAGCTCCACACAGTCTGTGATCATGTCCCGATCATCACAGCGGCTCAAAAGCTTCAAAACAGGATTAAAAACAGGTTTGAAACATGAACAAACCACTAGAACTTCACTTTCCGGGTATCTGACGTCACGGACCAAAACACCAGTGACTTCCGGGTTGAGGTTTTATAATATTTTGTGTGTAAAAATAGAAATGACACGTTTACAGTCTATGGAACAATCAGAACAATAACACTTTACTCAGCATATTTTTGTTTGTACGATCACTTTGGGATTTTTGTTTGGACTGGTTCTGGTTTTGAGTCGAATCAGTTTGGTTTTCCACTAGTTACCATAGCAACGCACTGTTTACTTACTTACGCTGATAGCATTTAGTAGCCTTTCAACCATAGACTACTGTTTGTCTGTATTTCAAGTTATAACATTGTGTTTTAGCGATTATTAAAAAACTTTCATTTTTGGGGGATTTTTTGTTTATTTTTTATTGTTACATAATTCTATTTATTTGAATTGGAGTTTTAGTAGTTTCTGAATTCTGGGGGTCCTAGTGTTAGAGCACAGATCACAGTTTAGACTTAACTTTTCCCAGAACACAGTCATGATGATTATTTTCAAGAATTTGCAAAGGATTTGTGAAGTTTGTTTACATTTATCATTTAATAATCATGTAATTTTACTTCCTGGTTGTAAATTGTGACCAAAATGATGTTTCCGAACTGAGCCAAAACTAATGCAATGTACAGAAGAATTATCCAAAGAATTAAACTTTAGAGCAGGGGTGCTCACACTTTTTCAGCATGCGAGCTACTTATAAAATGATCAAGTCAAAATGATCTACCTACTACAAAAATGCAAAACATATATTTATTTCTAAATATATTGAAGATTCTTTATACCTACAATGTATGTTGATGACATGCAAAACCGCATGATTTATGAAATAATTTCCTCTGACGGTCATCCAGGATTCATAGAACCGTAGTTATATTCGTAACTTTCGTTCTGTAGCGGCACTTACAGTCATAGTAGAAACTCAGGGTGAAGACGTGTTATTATAGATCCATGGTGAAGACATATGTTTACAAGCATTGACCCCAGTCCTCAGCCCTGGTTTGATCCTGGTTTAGCTCCTGTTTTGGTTGTTTTCGAGTCCCTGTGATCACTTTGCTGCTCTCTGATGTGGAGGATGTTCGCTGCTGTGAACCGCTGCAGCAGAGAACAGTTTTTAAGGCAGTAAGATGTTTTGTTTGTTTTTTTTTTATGTAATGCGATCTTCCAATACTACCTTTGCAATCGACTTGTAGGTCGCGATCGACGTATTGAGCACCCCTGCTTGAGTGAATCATTTGAGTGTTACAGAATTAGTTTGTAAGGTCACACTGTGATGAACTGTGAGTCTCCCACAGTGATCTCATCAATTCTAGAACTCTGCTCACTTCTGTAAAACGGCATAAAAGACCTGCACTTTCAGCAGTTTGTCCTGATGTCAGTATTTATTACGGAGTACTTTCAGATCCTTTCGCATTTACTCCTTGCTTTCAAACCCAAATATCTGTACTTACATTTTGATTGGACTAGTTACTATGTGTTCTATCTGTTCTGTTTTGTGTTTATTGTCATATCCTTGGTCAGTGTGCTGAGTGCAGAGGCATAACTCCGCACAGCACAGTCTATTTCTTCAGAACTTTTTTATTTAATCTGCTAAATCATCCAGAGAGTAACTTTTTGTTTCTCTTAGTTTGGAACTTTGGACTGCTTCTCATGGAATAGGTTTCCTCCAGGTGCTCCAGTTTCCCTTACCACTAAAAACAAACATATAAAATAAAAAAAGTAACATATGGAAACCGTAAGTTAACTGTTTGTGCTCATCGCTGTGTGTTGCCATGTTGATGTCTATACTTTTAAACTAGGGTGAGGCTTAGGGAATGATTTAAAAACTTTTACCTATATGCGATAGTTATACTAGTATCTATACTTACTTGTTAGTGCTAAAGTAAGATATGAACAAAAATGACAAAACAAATTTTTACTAATTTCCAGCTTTTATTCATTGGTGAACCTGAAACACGTGGGTCCCACAGCGGGATCTGGCGACGAACGTTCAAACCATGAAACAAAAGCTGTGAACAAAACCTAACACTGAACAAAGATCAAAGACATGGATATAAATAATTTTGGACCAAAACACTGTACATTTCTGCAGACGACACCTGGATTACTGAAAGCACATACATTATAACATAACATTGTAATAATCACACGTTATAATAAGAGTTTATCCAGGTTTAAACACGGACCTGCTGCTACCGGAGGCACTTTGGATCTTTGCACAAACCATTGAACTATAGAACTAACTCAGATTTCATTTTTGTTCTAAATTCCAGCTGTGGTTTGAGAGTTTTCTTGATTCAAATGATAAAACTCCCAAACCTATTCCTCACGTCAGCCATCCTTAATGTAAATGAAATAACATTCACCTCAAACAATAACACAAAGGCTTGTTACAGTTGACAAAAGCATTTTCTACACGTATTCCTATTGCGTTTCCAGACTGGCAGCTGAAATAAATCCAATATTGTGCTAAGGTTCTAGTGACAAAACCATCAAAAATAGATTGATCATGCTTAATTTGACTTGTTCTATGACAGTCAAAAAGTACTAAAAACAAGATCTGGCATTGGTACATTGACAGTGGGTTGCAACAGTAGTAATACAGATTGAACTTTTGCAAATGTTGTCACGCTACAACCACAGACAAAACTATTTTCTTTTGGAGACCACAGCAAAGTAACAGACAACTGGGAAGTGAAAGCATTTTTTTTTTTTTTTTTCTAAATGCAATACTGAAAAATGACTGAACTGAGCCTGGTAAATTTGGGGGAAAAAACACTTTACAGAGCTGAACAATGGAGATGGATCTTGTGTCCCTAGAATCCATACACGTACTTATAATTATTGTATTTTTATACCAGGAAGGAAGGTTGTACATTTATTATATCTTTTTTCTGGGGAGTTGCGGCACCAGATAGAGGGGAGCTATATTTTTTAGTGGTACCGAAAAGTCCCTTCAGAAACTCCACTCAATTGCTGAGAACGGAGAGAGCTAACCACTCAGCCGACATGCCGCCCAAAGCACTTGTTTTGTGGTTTTGAAGACCAAAACCAAATCAACAAGTGTGAACTTTGTAGGACCCTCTTTTGCTGCAGTTACAGATATAAGTCTTTGGGGGTATGACTCTACAAGCTTTGCACATCTACAGTAGAGACTGAAAGTTTTTTCCATTCGTCCGTACAAAACAGCTCAAGCTCTGTCAGATTAGATGGAGAGAGTTTGTGAACAGCAATTCCCACAGATTTGGATTACATATTGTAGTTTCACTTCTCCCAAAATCTAAGTTTAAATTGGGCCAAACTCCAAAAGCACATTTTAAGAACACACAATGAGTTACAGCGGATAATCGTAGTCTGTAGACAATTTTCACCTATGATAATAACAATGCATCACCGAGAGATACCTCAAAAGTGTCTTGAAACATTGCTAAGCTAATGCTAATTTGAACCGCAACATTATTGTAGCCCTGGTGGGAAACAACTAAATACTAATTCCCTAAATGTTAATTTGAACCCCAAACACAGAGACAATCAGAATACTATAACTTTACATGATTTTGTTGTATGTCATTTTGTGCGGGTATTACCACAAAAAGAAGAGTGAGTTTGTTCTGTGTGTGTGTGTGTGTGTGTGTGTACTCGATCTTTTCAGTTGCATCATAGTGAAGTTTGTCCAGCAGCAACTCAGCGTTTGTTCAGTAAATATTGAGTTATTTCAGCATGTCCTAAACACAAAGAGATAAAGCAGATACTATAAAAAATAACATCTATGGTAAATGTGTAAGAAAATGGAAACTACAGGAAAATAAGTCCATACGCTGTAATGCTGAAGTGACAGGTAACAGGCAATAAAAACTAAAAAACTAAAACTACTCCAGCACTTATTGGTTGGAATGGATAGTTTTTCAAAAATGGGAATGTTCGTACCTGGATTTAAAGAAATATTACACATTTATTTTCGCCATTAGAGACTGTATTTCATGTTTTAGAAAGTGAAATAATAATATATAGCAGAAATTACATGATAAAAAACTAGTATGTGGAAAATGCTTTCTGTCTGTAACTCCCTAGGCTACCACTAGAGGGAGTTTGACAAACACAGACATGTATTAGTAAAGAACCTAATTTCACCTGAGACTTGACCAAAACTAATTTAAGGGCAATTATTTTGATTTAAAACACATTAAACTGCTCTGAGTGTGACATCATACTGCTACCGGACACATGACACTTTCAGGCGATTTCGTGAATTGGGATGTTCAGACTTCCCACACTGAAAAATGGGAATGAACTCATTGCTCAACTCTGAAACTCAAGTTGGATCAATGGTCCCACGTGTGATTGTGTCATCAGCGTCACAGAGTCGGAAAATTACTTTGAGATCCAAGATCAAACTACAATTTATCAACATTGGTCATCTGTCCCTTATAAACCAATGGCTCTATGTGTGTGTGTGTGTGTGTTTTTTTCATCATTGAATTTCCTGTGTGTAAACCGTTTGATTTTCTGATCCGTCTGCGAATCGACAACTTTGTAAAGTCTACCTACTGTTGTGATTTAAGCGTACACAAAAATAAATTTAATTGAATGAACGCAGGTAGAGGCAGGAGATTATTATGAATATTGGCGTGGATGGATCTCAAAGGAACTCCTGGTTTTTAATTGATGAGGGACACCGTTGTAAAGTGGAGATAAGCTTAAAAAACGTAGAGAAAGTCTTTGCTAAAAGCTAAAACTGCAGCGGTGGGAAATCAACTGTCTTTGGCTTCAGTAACGTCTATGCTCTCTGAATTATAGTCATTAAGTTTGGCGCATTTTTACAGACGTGTCCCACACAAAACAAACTGCATATTTCACCGAGGCTCGAGTTAAAGTTAACGTCTGCGGCTTCACGTGTTCATTTGGCCCTTTGAGAAGATAGTCTTTGGAGTTTCATGTTTGGTGTGATCAAGTTTGAAGGCATGCAGGTACACATATTTGGACTTCAAGATGAAATTCACCAAAAAAGCAAATTTTGAGGCAATACTTTTGTTTGCGATAGTGTGAGGATTTGTCATAGAGTAAGACGTTTGAAGACAGATTATCTAGACAGGAGGGGCAGGGGATCAAGATATGAGCGTGGAGGGGGCTAAAAACAAACTTCAGGTCTGTGACTGATGAGGAACAATGTTGTAACATGATTTAAAAACTGCATATGTCTCCATTAAAGCTGGGGTACCTCACTTTTTTGATTCATAAATATCACATGTTTTAGTCCCGTAAAACCCCAATTCTTTGAACAAATTAGACCAGAACATGTGATGTATGTATAGAATTAGAAAACATTGTATCTTTAGGGTTGGAAAGAGCCCTGTGAGTCACTTTTTGACTCTTTGGGCTAAGACCTGATTGGCTGAGTGACATGCATGTGAAAACTACTGATAGAACTAGTGATGCAACCATAGTTCTATTATTGTGGTTTGACAGTTACGTACCCCAGCTCTAAAACAACCCGTCTTGCTCTGCATAATTTTGCAAACATCAACAAAAATACACTCTAACAGCTACATTTCCAATAAAAATAAATTCTACAAACATACATATTTATATATAAATCGCGTACCTGCAAAGAAAAAGACCATACCATTGAGCAAATTCAAGAAAATGATAGAGATCGTCCGAGCTCGGATTCATAATTCTACTGACCACAATCAAAATGACAAATAAACAGGTTCATAAAAGGAGACGTAACATGCTTCCGTCTCTACAGCGCCCCCTGTGGCTCATAGTGATATGTTTAGAATCTTACAAAGCTCAATATTGATATGAAATGTCTGTATTCAGTCCTGCCGTATCGCTTAGAGCTCTATACGTTTATGCAATGGCCCCACAGGCTCAGCTCAGACGGCGGGTCAAGTTAGCAATCGGTGGATATTTTCCCCCTTCGAGTAACAATGATTGTCTTGAAAAAATGCTAAGCAGATGCTAATATTGACCTCAGAAAGTAGCAATAACAAAAATCAATCAATAAAAAGGTGATTTTGTCAGAGGTCATAGACAGGGTTGTCCTATCTGCCTATTGTTGCTTGCTCCATCTCTGGAACCTCTTGCTTTTGGTTGGTAAAAAACATAGGGTCAGAATTGTGTCTTGGGTGTAAAGTCAATATAAGATATGAACTTTTCCTCAAAACAGAAAGAATGAGCAAGGAATACTGCTGTAACATGGACCAAAGCTGTGGACAGTTGCATGTTATGTCCCCTTTAAACCCATTCTCAATCGTCTACAGAGACACATGTCGTATTGCACAGATAAAGAGCAGGTGGAACGCAAACACACGGTAAATATTTGGTTAAATTAGCAGATTATCACGCAGTTTTTTGGCTTTTTCTTCAGAAATTTGATTTAAACTTGGGTGGTTCAGACAATAAACGCAGAGGACCAACGACCAGGGTAATCTAACACTATATAAACAGTCATTATAAACAAAAATAAATCACTTTTCGGTCAATGTGTAACTTTAACATGAGAAGGAAACAATTGACTTTGGCATTTCATGTTTTTGAATGTGCACTTTTTTCTTAGAGGTGATTTCAGTAACTTCAATTGCATTTCATATTTAAACGTATGCCTTTTTTGACCCCTCAAGCAAATCAATATTATTAAGTCCATCTCCTTGGCATAAGCACCATCAGTAAGATTTGCTTTGAGGAGAACAGTTAAACCAATGGCAAGAGGCCTTATGTGTGTATCCATTTTAACTGTTTAAACCGGTGGGAAAAACAAAATATCTCGACACAATTAAAAAAAGAAACTGACATTCACTCTTAGTAGTATATATATGGATAAACATGTATAAAGAGAAATGATCAAAACTAAGGCAAAACTTGACGTAATAGTGTAAGTTTGAGACAGGATCAAGGCCAGGGGTGTCAAACCGTGCTCAAAGGGCGAGTGTGACAGCAGTTTTGAGTTCCAGCCCCACCAGGAGCACACAGGCTCCACTCATTTCCTCAGCCAAGTCCAGTTTTAACCTGAAGATTTGAGGAAATGGGTGGAGTCTGTGTGCTCCTGCTCGGGTTGGAACGAATACCTGCAGCCACACCCGCCCTTTGAGGACCGGTTTGATACCCCTGATCTAGACAGAAGGGGGGGGACACATTTGTGACAGAAGTTCCTGATATTATCTTGGATGGAGCTAAAAACCCCTCCAGGTACAATGCTGTAACAAAAAAAGACATGTTTGTATAATACGCAAAAATAAAACACTGGATAACATTGGTTCCATTTGTAACTAAACCTGAAATATAATTCCATTTGTCGTGTGTCTATCGTCCCATCTGCAGCCAGGATTATTGTAGTGAATAACAAACTCTCCAATCAACAAAACAAATGCGGAAAACAAGTAATTTTAATCTCAAAATGTAATGTCCGCCATCAAAAGAGCGCGGCTTTGGAATGGGCTGAAGTCTGAAGAGGTCTCCAGCTTCAAACGTTCAAATGTTCAGTTCTGTCCCGGAGCCAGGACCTCGGTTCAGGGTCCTGGACTCACGCGTAGAACTCCTTGGTGGGGGCTTTGTGGTAGGCCGTGTTGGTCAGCTTGGTCTCCCCGAGGTCGTAGCTGCCCTCGTCCTTCTTCTTCATGCGGTAGGCGAGGAGGAGGAGGAGGAAGACGGCGCAGAGGAAGCCCACCACGCCACACGCGATGATGGCTGCAGGGACAGACGACAGAGAGGAAAGACGAGGGGTTTTAATGATCGTACACAGAGAAGTTTAGTTTAATGTGATGGTTAAAGCTGGATAACATTACATATAGAATACATGTTTGTCCAAAAAGAAAGATTTGGGACATATTCATGATTAAAAAAGATTAATTTTATCTTGAGTTAAAATGGGACGGGGCTTGGGTCATCGGATCTGAAAACAACAAATGCAATTGCTGGATCAAGGAGGCCATTGACATCATTTTTGCGGGGCAACAAAAGCATCAACCGGGATGAGGGAGCCTTCTTTCTATCCCACACATGGGACACCCTCCTCCTGAGACCACCGGGCGAGGCATGGTCTGATCAGCTGATAAATGACACGTCACCGAGGCATGTGACCGTTCTAAAAGATGGCTCGCAGCTCTGCAGCCAAAACACGTGAACAAGATAATGCATCTAACTTGTCTTTCGAAAGAACCACAACAAACAAAAAAGTTATCTCCATCTCTTTTGAAAACATGCTATTTTTTGCATACTTGTAGGAAAGAGCCCAATGAGTCAATATCTGAGTGACTGGGCTGAGAGCCGATTGAAAAAGACAACACTCTTCACTGAAACACTTTTCTGTCTGAAAAAGCTGACCTAAAGACAGAAGTGAACAGAAGAAAATGGTGACTGAGGCAAGTGTAAACTTGTGATGGAACCAAACTGTTTTAGAGGCAGGAACTAGTGATATGGATTTTATTTCAGAATTCCATTGCTGTGGTTGGAGACGTCAAGCACCGTAGCTTTAAAAGCCATAGAATATTTATTTGTCCTGGTTCTATCCAGGCCGAGCTGATACTAAAAGTGTTCTAACTGACCAGAGTGCTGCTGTGCCTTGGTTCATGGTTCACACATATGCCTTGGTTTAACACAGACTTTCCTGGACCTCCCCACACTTCCGTACCTGCCAGCACGTCGGTCCTCTCCCACAGGTTCTCGGAGGTCACTTCTTTGGGTGCATCCAGCTCGTACATCCTTCCGCGGGGGTCTGCGGGAACAATCTCGTTGTGGAGCTCTGTGTCAGACACAGCGGGCTCCAACCAGTCCTGGTCCTGGTTCTGGTCCAGGTCCAGGCTGTTGCCGAGGGTGGAGGTGGGCGTCTCAGCGCTGGTGCGGCGAGCAGAGTCCACGGTCGGGCTCGCGTCCACTACCTGAGAAGTACAATATCGGTCAAATAACTATGGACTCTTTTCAGTATACAGTGCCTCTTGAAAGTACTAATACACCTACAACTATTGTCTGAAACTGGTGATTTCAGTCAAACTTCTCTCTACTCCAAAGGAGAACTAAACTAGCTAGAAACACACTTATTTTAGCTGATGAAAGTAGAAAGTCCGTTCTTTCAGAATCGGCTGGCAATATGGGAGTAGCCGTTCAGAAATTGGCTGTCAGGGAAGGAGTTAAAATAATGGCAGAATCATGTATAATTTTCCTTTCACTTCCCAGTTGTCTGTTAATTGTGTGTGAACTTTGAGTAAAACGTCAATATTTACTGACAAAATGTGCAAAAGTTCAACGTGTACTTTTGAGAAGCACTGTATCATGCGCAGGCAGCTGGTAGATGTTCTTGTAGTTTTCACTTGGCATTTATACTCTTGTCACAGAGCAATTAATGCAGTGAGCCATTAATATCCTCTTACACCGGAGACCTCATCTGCCTGCACTGCGTGTAGTGTGCATAGTTTAGGCTTCTTCAACAGACTCGTATCTGAAGCAAAAAGAACCCTTCCTGTTGTTGAGGGAACATAAGATAAATGTTGGTGTACCACAAGGCTCAATACTAGGGCCTTCACTGTACAATAGGGGAACTTTGAAAGTCCAAAGTTTTAAAATCAATATTGAAATCTCCAATGATCCAAATACTTTATAAACAGACGATCATTGCTTTGACATTGTAAAACATGTCACATCTCTTGTTCTAAAGCCCCGTCTGTGTACCTCTTCCTCCTCCCTGGTGGTGGGTTCTCTCGGAGCCCGGTCTGTGGTCTGGAGCTCGGTCTCGGTCTCCGCAGCCGTAGGGCCAGGTTCAGGGGCTGGGGTCGTGGGCTGAGGCTGATGAGGCTCCACAGGAACTGTGTCGACTCGATCAAACAAGGTTTTGGAGAAATTCAGGAATTTCAGGAGTTCAGCCTCCTCTGTGATGAGACCTGAATACACACAGAAACAGAATTAAAGGGTCATTAATGAAGACTGACTGGACAGAAGCTGATTAGAGCCAACACTCCACTTCTCTCAACTTAATGGCAACGAAGAAAACATCCCGGATGAAGCAGGCAACATCACAGTTACAGACTGCGGTCATACAGACTGCGGTCATACAGACTGCGGTCATACAGACTGCGGTCATACAGACTGCGGTCATACAGACTGCGGTCATACAGACTGCGGTCATACAGACTGCGGTCATACAGACTGCAGTCATACAGACTGCGGTCATACAGACTGCAGTCATACAGACTGCGGTCATATAGACTGCAGTCTGTATGACCGCAGTCTGTATGACCGCAGTCATACAGACTGCGGTCATACAGACTGCAGTCATACAGACTGCGGTCATATAGACTGCAGTCTGTATGACCGCAGTCTGTATGACCGCAGTCATACAGACTGCGGTCATACAGACTGCAGTCATACAGACTGCGGTCATATAGACTGCAGTCATACAGACTGCGGTCATACAGACTGCAGTCATACAGACTGGTCATACAGACTGCGGTCATACAGACTGCGGTCATACAGACTGCGGTCATACAGACTGCGGTCATACAGACTGCGGTCATACAGACTGCAGTCATACAGACTGCGGTCATACAGACTGCAGTCATACAGACTGGTCATACAGACTGCGGTCATACAGACTGCGGTCATACAGACTGCGGTCATACAGACTGCGGTCATACAGACTGCGGTCATACAGACTGCGGTCATACAGACTGCGGTCATACAGACTGCGGTCATACAGACTGCGGTCATACAGACTGCAGTCATACAGACTGCAGTCATACAGACTGCAGTCATACAGACTGCGGTCATACAGACTGCGGTCATACAGACTGCGGTCATACAGACTGCAGTCATACAGACTGCGGTCATACAGACTGCAGTCATACAGACTGCAGTCATACAGACTGTAGTCATACAGACTGCGGTCATACAGACTGCGGTCATACAGACTGCGGTCATACAGACTGTAGTCATACAGACTGCAGTCATACAGACTGTAGTCATACAGACTGCGGTCATACAGACTGAGCATCACATACTTCAGTCATTACTAATAGAATGCATTATTCCACAGCCACATACAGAACACATGAGTCAGAGAATTCTCACATCTGCAAACTTCTCATAAAAGTCGTAACTTTTCTTTTCTCCGCAGCTCGAACATCTGTCTGAGCTCTGTCTCCAGTCTCCACAGCCTCACGTGACCCACATGACTCACATGCGTAGATAAACATATATATACAGTATAAACAAATATATAAACTAAATACATATACTGTACACACGGCCTTTTAGTCAGGTTTCTTAAATGGCTGTACCCAACAAAACATAGTACCACAAAGTGAAAATGTCACAGACAGAGAGACCAGAGGCTCTTAAACTTTCCCAAAACATGTGTTAAATCAACTTCCAGCCTCAATAACATTTGAGTAATTGTCAACAACAAAAAACAGTGCATTTTATATTCCGGCAACCCAGGGTTTTTGAGTCGTTCTTTGCCGATGCAAGACAGTGATTTGGGACATTTAGTGATATTTATGGACAGTGTTCCCGCTCCCTATGGACCAACTGCTTTATGTGTTTATTATTGCATTTCCTGCGTTCAAACAGTCTAATTCTCTCATCTGTTGCTGGTGAATCGACAACTTGCAAAGTCTTCCGAGACTACTGCTGTTGTGATTTAGGACTATACATAAACAGATTGAATTCAAATTAAAATGTGTTTTTTTTGTAATGGTTGAATACTAACACATATGTTGGATGAGAAGGATGCCACTGACCAGAAGCAAGATGCAAGACATCTTGCTTCTGTAAAAATCTAAAGTTACCGTAGTCTCCGGATCCAGACCCAGAGCCTTCATCGTCATCGTCACCGTCCTCATCGTCGATGGGGAGGTCACCTGATGTCCGGCCCTCCAGGTAAAGATCATCCACTGAGGAGAGGAGCTGTGAGGAGCCCAGCATCTGCAACACACAGGTCCCAGAAGGATTAAAGCAGAACTTACCTAACTACACATACAAATAAAACATGAAATAACATGTGCCAGTTATAGCAACAGAAAGAGCCCGGTCAAAGTAGAATGTTGTGAACAAATCAGACCAAAACATGCCATCTTTGACTTATTAGGGTTGACTTTGTTTTGTGTGACAAGCTGATTGAGGGTTTATTTTTCACTTTTCTGTCTGAAAAAGCTGATCTAAAAATGTGACAGAAGCCAAAAACACATGTGAAAACTAGTGATGGGAGTAAACTGTTTGAGAGCCAGGAATTAGAGAAAAAGTTAGGTACCCAAGTTAGGTACCCAAGCTTTAAATGAAATATACATAGCTTAAAAAGGTCCCATATCACACTTTTCAGCTTTTCAGGGAAAAAGAAGGTCCGAGGCACAACTGAATTTAAAGTAAAATCATTTACTCTCACAGGACACCGAAGCGTTTCGACCACATTCTTCTTCAGGTCGGACAATGCAAAATAGCACTACTAGTAAGTTTTTATTTATATACCGCCTTTTCACTGCACATCTGAGTCTCAAAGCGGTTTACAATTGTTAATTTTTGGGCATTTGTCTCTTACTCCACACAGAGATGGGAGCGGGGTCGCCAGTACAGGAAGCGCATGCCAGAACTATTGGACATATTTTTAGTGGTAGGGGAAACCGGAGTACCCGGAGGAAACCTACGCAGACACGGGGAGAACATGCAAACTCCACTCAGAAAGGCCCTGGTCCGACCGGGATTCGAACCCAGGACCTTCTTGCTGAGAGGCGAGAGTGCTATCCACTCAGCCACCGTGCCGCCACGGCGCTACTGCGCTATATGGCCTTCATACACATGCCCAAAGTCGTTTTTTCATTGATTCCCCGAGCTTTAGTTAGAGATTGATCTTTCTCCTTAATTCTCGAGAGGCAGAAAATACCTGGGTTCAATCGGCACTGAGATGCAAAAGCCCGCATTCAGGAGGAGCTCAGTGTGTGATAGGGGGAGAAATCCAAACAGAAACACCCACAAACATGCTTGAACATGCAGCACAGCCTCTACCCCGAGTACCGCGAGTACCAGTCTATTCGCTTCACATCGAGCTCTGCTGTTCTACTACAGGTGTTACAAGTGTTAGCATCATGTCAAGAACTTGAACATGTGTTGAAATTTGTCATCAACTTTGGTGAACATGTGTTTGGTGAATATGTGCCCGAAGACAAAGAGTGCGGCGAAAAGGGCTGGACTTTGTTTTCTGACTCACAAATGTTAATCTGTTATAGAGCTGCAAGTGACACACCAAGTGTGAAATATAAGAGATAAAATATGGGATCTTTACTAAGAAAAAGAGAGAAAGAGATAACTCCCAGTGAGATAAATACAGCTACATTTAGAAATGAATCCAACAAGGCAAGATATAATTCAAGGCTCTCACTTGTAAATTACTCACAAAATAAATACTTTTGTTTTTAAAAATGATCTATCCATGACTCTAGTCTGATTTATTTGAAAAGAGCATTCAGGCAGAAGGGATGGGGGAACTTGTTTGTGCCAGAAGCTGCTGATATCAGTGTGGTCCGTTTTTGATGAGGAACAATGTGGTTAAAACCTCAGAGACGAGGATTTTGCTTAATCCTTCAATAAAGAACCCACAGCTGTAAGGAGGGTCATGGACAAAATACAATTCTAAAACAAAAAACACTCTGCCTGCTCTGGAGAGCAGCTTCAGTGACAGACTGATCCACACTTGCTGTGTGAAGATGTTCCGCATGTCTTTCCTGACCTCTGACCCCACATGTCATTAGGGGTGTGACGCGGGAGAAAGTATCGCGATATATTGATTTTTCGATATATCGCGATACTTTCTCTTGATTATCGATATGCATTTGCCAAGTATCAATATTGAAAAGAAATAAGTTTTTTTTTTGAATTGGTATGAATACGGCTACATTACACATCTCCATTCTATTTATCATGAAATAAGAGTATTTTTTATTTTATTTATGCCATAAATTGGTATATTATATATTTCTGACCAATATATCAATAATCGTCATATCGTGATAAAATCTTTATCGTAATATCGTTATTAGAGCTGAAACAACTAATCGATTTAATCGATTAAAATCGATTATTAAAATAGTTGTCAACTAATTTAGTCATCGATTAGTTGCTAAATAACTTTTATTTTGCCGTAAGCGGCTCATTTCGTGCATATTTTAACTCTGCGGTGACCAAATGGTGGCAGTAATGAGCCACCGGAGGTTTTACAGCAGGAGAAGTAGCGAATAGCCAATAGCTGGCCTCCTTTTATGTCACATGCTTCGCGCACAGCTTCTCTTCAGCATACAGCAAGATGGCGGAGGCAAGCGGAGTAAGCTCGAGAAAAAAAAGGAAAAAAGCAGAAGACAAACCTAATCGAACGAAGTCATCCAAAGTGTGGGAGCACTTTACTTTGAACCTTCAAAAAAGAAGAGTAACCTGTAAACTCTGCGCTACTGACTTGGCCTGGCACGGGAGTACTACGTCTCTGCGTGAGCACCTTAAACCATCTCTCTGCAGTACTGACTGTTTGCAAAAGATGGCGCCACACTCACTGTTTTAGGCATAAAGTTGATCTTTCAAATAATTTGCACAAAGATGTAAAAAAAAAAAAACATTTATCAGTTTATCAACTTAAATAAGCCTTGTTCGGGATTTTAAACTACTTCAGAAGCCCTAAGGATTTTCATGGTGAAAACATTATTGGAAATCTCCTTGTGAAATTTGCTAGAGTATGTAACGGTCAGTGTTTTGTTTTGATGGTCAACATTGAGTTCACTAAAGGATTACAAAGACATAATAAACAGCTCCAGTTAAGTTTTTGATGTGGATATGAATATGTAAAATGGTTAAAATCTCTAAAAAGTCTATGTTGAATGATGAAGGCCCTTTGTTAACAATTTACTTGGAAAAAAATTGGCAAAACTAAAATATAAGTACATAAACCGATTAATCGATTAATCGTAAAAATAATCGCCTGATTAATCGATTATCTAAATAATCGTTAGTTGCAGCCCTAATCGTTATCGTGATATTATCGTTATCGTGAGCTTTGTATCGTATCGGGAGGTACCCTTAGGTTCCTACCCCTACATGTCATGCTTTTGTTTAATAATGTGGAATAATGTCAGAATGTGTAATATTAGGACCACATGAGTCCACTGCCACTTCTCTGATGCCACGTTTCCATCTCTGTGGTAACCAGGAGCTGTAAAGGACAATCTCTTTGAGTATAATTGTGTCTTATTGCCTTTCAAACACATGAAAGCAATCTGCAGCTCTAAAGAAGCAGCTCTAAAGAAGCCTCCGTGCATTATAACAAAGAGACAACACACATGTCCGTGCAGCCGAACCCTCGCGCTCACTTTCACCGCTCCTTCTCAGTCTCTATCATTACAGGATACAGGGGAGTCAGCAGATGTTAGCGCTGGGACATGAATATGGCCCATTGAGGCTTGAGGTATGTCTGGTATGTGCACTATGGTTCCACTAACACAGGTGCTGACGGGAGACGGGGAGACAGCGCAGGAGGCTCAAACAGGTGCTGGCCATAGACTGTATGTGAGGAGTGGAAAGAACGAGTGTGACGTCACCTATAGTGTTAAGGTAATGCGGAAGAAGCCGATTTCAACACAAACTAGCTGGAGCTGATCAGGCCTGTAACAGACCTGTTCTTTCGTCAACACTTCTCTAGAGACTTCACAGGGGCACGTTTACAAAGACAATATCACAATATGTACACCAGGATCACAGAGAGCGCGAAACTACAGATGTTTTAGGCACAAAACAGTGAGTGTGACACAAACGCTTAGTGAGCTGGAAGAGCTTACTTGTCAATCTAAGTCAACAGGAGCCAGGGTTAAGCCCTGTGTATACTTGCGCGGCGTTGAGCTCGCGGTGGCCCTAGTTATGAAACAACAAGTCCATAGTACTGTCACATAAACCCACGCCTAGATACACATTTAAAGAGCTATAGTTTTTTTTCTGAAGAGGAGAAAGTAGCTAGTGTAAATGGGACCGCTTGGGTGTCCCAGGCAACTTCTGTGAGATTGCCATAATGTAGTTGTGGGATGGGATTACAACAGTCCCTTCAAAACTACGCAGGGGGTACGCCAAAGTATACGAGCAGCTGTGGCTACGTGGGTCCAGCGCAACCACCAACGCAACCGGCGACGACAGAGTACACACAGACCTTTAGCATTGTCCACCTATATACAGTCAGACAGAGGTAGACGCAGAAAAGACAGAGTGCAGGAGCCTAAGCAGGAGACGAGCAAGAAACAAGGAGGATAACCACAAGAGGGGACACAAATGTAATCATGGGTTCGATGCGAAAGAATAGTATGAACATTTTTAATTTGAGACCACTTTTACACAGTGGCTATAAGAAGACTAGCTGTATCGCGTACATCACTTCATCATACACAGAAGTTCCAGTCCAGGATAAAGCAAACGGTAAACAGAGAGACCACCCATCTGCTTAAAGGCTGGGGTATACTTCTACTGGGTCCGCGCAATGGAACGTCAGGCACAAAAATGTAGCTCCACCCCTTCTGTCTAAAGGCTCCAGTCCCAGTCCTGTGATAGTATGATGTCATTATACCACTAGGACATCATTCTCAGAGCAGTTTTCTGCCTTTCAAAACAACAGTATTGCTCCTTAATTAGTTTTAGCAATAAGCAATTTTCATATTTGGGAAAGAAAAACAAAATAAATTCTCCTCTCTTTGGTAGCAGCCTAAGGAGTTACAGGCAGAAAGCATTATTTCTCTCTCGTTTCACCACATATTTTCTACTAGATATTATTTCAAATTCTAAAACATGGATTATAAACAGCCTCATCACTTTTATGGCCAAATATAATGTGTATAATTTCATCGAAACTGGACCCACCTCAGGCTTGCTCACATTACATGGACTTTATTACTATCGTTGGGAACGTTTAG